TGGTAGTGGTAGTGGTAGTGGTAGTGGTAGTGGTAGCGGTAGCGGCAGCGGCAGCGGTAGCGGTAGCGGTAGCGGTAGTAGTACAACAACAACAACAACAACTACTACTACTACTACTACTACTGCTACTCGTAGTAGTGATAGTTCAGAGACGCCGACAGTCTGCATGTTTTGCTTCTCTGGAGCTGTGTTCCCACGAAGGGACGACGGGGTCTAGTTTCTGGAACTCGAAGACGGCAACCTGGCACAAAAGGGTCTGGGCCTTGCCTTCTCAATCTCCTCCTGCACGACGCTGGGATAAACAGTGTAAAATCCGCATCAACAAAAGCAGATGCAAAATGACATCTGAGTCTAAAGTAACGAGATATTGGCAATCTTCGGAGAAGGATTCGTCACATGTGCTGCCTCTCCCACTGCAGCGTCTACGCAGCCGATGAGGCAAAGGCCCGCCGATGCTGCATGCTGCTGGATGGCTGCTACCTGCGAATTGCGTAGCATGGCCTAGCCCCTGGCCTTGCCTGCAATGTTGCAATGTTTTTGGCCGAAATTTGCATCGAGCGATCCGAGTGACTCCAACGCTGGCCCCACGTATGGTGTTCGCGAGAACCTGACAAGGGCATACTCAAGGCGCGTTTTTTTGTACCCGGCTGCCAGCTTGGTGGCAGCCAAATTGCAAGCAAGTGGCCAGGCGCCCGCCGGGCCGCAGGGCACAAGAAGCCGCCTCGAAGAGCCGGAAGCCGGCAATTTCGTACCTGAGAGGATTTTATCGGCCTTTCAGCTGTCCGAAGTCTTCCTCGTCCTCGTCCCAGTTTGTATGCGACCGAAGAATCGCCGACATGGAGCAGGATCCAGCAAACCGATGCAGCACCATACTGATTGCCGCTATGAGAACACTGCAGCTCCAGCAGGCTCCTTGCAATCAAGCTGCAGGATGTCCTTGCCACGGCAGTCACAGGACGACAGCAACGAACAACGCACAACCAGAGCTATCCAAGAGTCCTTCCTGCCTGCTTGGAACAAACTTGAACAAACCCGAGCGAAACACCCGAGCAAAACAAAATAAAGGGTGCCTGTGGTTGTCAAACAAACATTGCGCGGCCTGTTACTTGTCTTAGTACATCGACCTCCATAAATCGCGCCACCCAACCGCAACAGAGACACATGGGGCCGAAACACAGATGCAGTCAGTCAGGGTGCCGAGCCGATCACCAGGTCAAAGCCTGTCAACCACACAGGCCGGTCTTGGCAAGCAGAGAGGGCGACAGTCACGCAAGTTGCGCTTGCAGCTTGCAATATTAATATGCTCTCGCAGCTTTCTCAGAGATTCCATTGAGACAGGACATGGTAAAAGTTCGAGGAGGAGTGACACAGACTCAGCTCAACATTGCAGCCGCAACAGGCCTCCCAGCGAAGTTCTTTGACTTCTGCCCTGCCTGAACAGAAGCTGTGTGATGTACTCTCAGAGCTGTATTCATCCCGCTCAAAGCCCCAGCCAACACGATCTACAGCACCTCTTCAGCATCTGCAGTGTGGGCGCCTTGCAGGCCATTTAGATCCACGTTCAGCTGCAGCAGCCGCAGGACTCCTGCCCAGCAGAACAGGCTGCTGTGCAGGCCTAGGACCTTGATCCCTGGCTGTCCTCGAAGCTGACTGTTTGAAGGCGGTATGGAACACAGGGACATAAACTCCGTGATAAGACCAGAACATGGCTGGCATAGCTGGCAGGCATGGCTCGCACTCCTTGGAACCGTATCGGATTTGCGGAGCTTCTCCTGGATGGCAGTCTGTCAGGACCACGTGCGCCCCAGCCGAAGCCAGCCACAAGCCAGGAAGCCCCATCCCAGAACCTCGGCACTTTCCAAGAGGATCGAAGGGCCTAGGTCCCAGGTCTTATCTGACGCCAGGCCGCCCAGCTCCAGCGCCTTGCCAGCGAAGGCCTCGCGAGAGAGCCTCCAGCACAGAGCCGGGACCTGCGTTGCCACAACAAAGCAGTCATTAGCACGGCAGGTTGTGCCTCTTCCATAGCTGTCCTTCCAGTTGCCGCCAAGTCGCGGTGTCGAAAATGCAGGCACACATGCTATTCCTGGGTCAGTATGACTTTCAACCAATGGTCCATGTAACAACACCGCGCAACAAGCTGTCTCCGGACTGAGGCGAGTCGTTCAAACACTCTGCAAACGGGTTGACTTGACAAGGTGCAAGATGTTGTCATCGTTGAAGTCTTCTGGCAGCAGCTTGGACACTTCGGAAACTTCCTGTCATGGTATGTATTCCGGGCGAGAAGAGACGCCTCGCGACTCGCTCCACCGGGAGCCTCCATTTCCAAAGGGAGGTCTGCCCGTCAAGTCGTCGAACGGCCGAGCTTGACTTGTGTGCAGCATGAGAGCCTGAGATTCAGCCTGTCGTGCTGCGGCCCAGAACTGCAGGTCTCGCCCAGCCACAGTCGCACGGTGTACGGCCTAAGACTCAAGAGATTCCACGGGACAGCTCAACCTCATCTGATTGCCTCAACTTGCTTCCGGCACGAAGGCCCAGGCCACTGGCATCTCAGAGAAGTCGAAGCCATTCATGAAAGCCAGCACTACGACCCGAAGGCAGCAGTTTGGGTTTCAGGTATTTTCTATTTGCCGGCAGGACTTTACTTTGCTCTACAAGGTATCCTAATGCGCAGGATGTTGCCGGACATGAGATTCAGATGAGGAACTCACAGTCCACCATGCAAGCTCATGTTGGCACATTTTGATCTAGCGGCTTGAACATCTCACATGCTTTCTCTCTTTCCTGTAGCCACTCTTTTGTCACTACGACGGTCAAGGTCGTCATCATGGATGGCGACCCGGATCTCGGCGGAATATGCAAACTCCTGCTTGGTGGCTGCAGGGATGGATTGTGGGTGGACAAGCAGTCTGCGGCCCTCCAGTCTTTTTAAACCATGGCCCGCGAGAAGCTAGTCTTAGGCTAGCCTCTGAATTATGTGGAGGCCGCGGCTGCCAGCAAGCACGTCGCTGAACTCATTGACCTCGCTCTTCACACGGCCCACGGCAACAAAACAATGTCAGCCTGTGTAGCTCGACTGCACTTACCGCCACGCATCGCCACGCCTCATGATTTAATGGATTGGCCCCTTCCGTGCGGGCAGGGCTCGTTGAGTGCGAAGACCGCCTCGTCCAACACTGCCTCCGTCTGCCCCTTGACCTGTGAACGACGAGAAACGCAGCCTCTGCATCGAGCTCGGACCTCTGAGCTCTGGGCCAACCAGCCCAGATCTCCGCAGAGTTGCCCGGGCTGATCCCCGCTTTGGCAGTCCGAGAGCTCCCTGCAACGCCACAGGGACAGAACAGCGCCCTCGTCACGGGCCTTCCCAGGCCCCAGGCCTGCAAAGCTTGGGAAACTGGTTCCTCAAGGCAGTGGGAAAGCTGCGACAAGGAAAGCCACATGACTACCCGATTTTGAGCTAAGCTACGGGGTCTTCAGCAGCGTTTCCAGCGTCTTCAGGGCGAGCTCTTCCGCATCTGGCAGTGCTCTGCCGGGGTCCCGCCGCAGCATCGGATCTGCCTCATACACGGAAAAGAAGGGAAGCGATTTCATGACGTGAACATCGCCTTCAATGGTAGAGAGATGTAGAGAGTGTTTTCTCGACATGCATTGCTGCACCTGGCGGACCTGTTGGTGGCGCAATAGGATGTGTCGCACCTCAGCGAAATCGAAATTCACGAGCCATGGCATCAGTAACCCAGGATCCGCCGTTTTATCAGCTTAATCGGGGCCCAGCTAAGCTCAAAAGGGAGCTCGCCACAGGGAGAAAGAGGCCCGGACTCATGAGTTCAAACCTCGAGTGAAATACACACCCGCACAACGCACGACACAACAACATGCAATCGAAACGACTCTCTGCACAAGACTGGCAATGATGCAGACACAGCCTGATAAGACGTGATGATGATAATAATAAGAATAAGAACTGAGCCACTGGATTGCGTGGTTCTGCTTCAGTCACGGCTAATGTGGCTGGTGCTGAGGCCGCTACAAAATGCTGTGTCAGGCACAGAGATGCTGAAGTCTTGTAACTTTCTTATAACTTTAGGGCCTGACACTGGCCTGACCCTCAACTGGAATTCGGCCGCGCACTCGGACAGTGTCGGAGCTGCCAGTCTTCTGGCGCTTGGCAGCAGAAGTTTCGGCCTCGCTGCAGCAAGAGCGCCCACCAGCGGCTGATTGACAACAAGGCTGTCGCTCTTCGCAGGGAGATGCAGATAATGATATGATATGATGACCATCAAACTAATAGTCCTGTCGCAATCAAGCATGCCCTGCCTTTCCAGACCGCCTCACGCTGATGCATACCTCGGTGTTGAGGAGGGAATTCATCACTCGTGAATTGTGGCTCTGAAACATCATGTACCACTGTCACAAGCATTTTTGCTGTTGTCACCTTCCCCATGGTGGTCGGGTTCTTGCCTGACTACAGCCTGGGATCATTTATGACTGTGTGACAGTTGGTTTCGGGCTGGCAACGTAGCGTAGCGGAACATGATGCTCACGATGGCCGCAAATAGCAGTCCTACAAAGTCATTATCGGAGCATGGAGGACGCCCGAAGTCGCCCAGGTGCAGAAGCGCTGGACGCGTTTGCTACCGGCGAGGACGGCGTGCTTGCATCCGACAGCGCATTGAAGACCAAAACGGAGGCCTTGGGCCTCAGCGACGCCCGAAGCTCCCAGCCCCCAGCCGCTTGGAACACGCCTCATCTCCTACCAACCACCAGCAGGTGAGTCCCCCGCATGCTTCAGCAACTACTCTTTGGCACTAGTGCACATTCTGTAGACTCATCTATCTAGCGAGGCAAAGTCAAAACATGCCTCAGAACAACTCTTTGCCCTGCGGCCTTCTGGAATGGGCAGCTGCTGCTCGAGTCAGGCTCTCATCGCTGAGAGAAGCCGTCGCACCACCTTTGACAAAAATCACAGGACGGCTGTAGTCTCTTTCATTCTGTGTTTTAGACGCCTGTGCTGCATGCATCTCGATCGGGGCTGCCTTCAAGAAACTAGGGCCAACACAAAGAAGTGCAAAGCGCACGGAAGCATTGGTCGAGAGCATATAGCTGACAGACTTCGGCTCCATCATCACCAGCGGGCGTGGAAAGCGCAGATCTCGAAGGCCTAGGCGGATCAGAGAGAAAGAGCAGAGCAGCTCAGATTCTCTGATCATTCCTTTTCTTTCTGCTGGGCGTATGTCCGTACGAGTAGGGCTCATCCTCCAGCTCTGTCTTCTCTTCGCGGCCCAAGGCTCCCAGCGCTCTGCTGCTTTGGGCGCCCTCGCGGAGCAGTGCCTCGCTGCGTGGCAGCGCCTCTGCGGCCATGGGCCGCGACACGGTCTTGACAGCCTCGTCACCTCAAAGAACACCAGAGGACTGAAGACTGAGGAGAACAGAGGCGAAAGGCTGGAGATGGCGCGAGAGTTGTTGGAAGATGTGAGGCTCACTCCGGCCCAAGACGCAGATGGCTTCGGCTTGCCGGAAATCTGGCGCCACCACCTTCCAGGCCACACAGACCGCTTCTCAGCACTTGGCACCCGCTCACCCTTCGCCAGGGTTGTGAAACTACGGACACAACGACGACAGGTGTTTTACATCTCTGATTTTCCCGAGGCACTCTGTGCTCTTGAAAAAGCCTTGCCTGTCGGTTCTTGGGTATCTAGGAAACATGGCGCCACCCGGTGCCGAGCCTCCATCTTCGAAATCTTCCGCTTTAGCTCTTTCGCAGCCCGCTCGGCTTCCTTTGCCTTAGAACTCAGAACGTCCAGAGGTCCGGGAGTTCATGTCGTATGAGGCACAGCACCAGTCGAGTGAAATGCTCCAACCCTTCCATGGTATGCCATTGCATTTTGCCACGGCACCACCTCCTCGATGATAGAATCCTCGAAAGACAGATGCGAATGGGCCAGTTGCGACGGGCGTTGCAGACCTCCTACACTCGCTCCCCAACGGTCGTGCAGGTCCGTAGGCGCTTCAACTTGCCCGCTTCTGCCGTCTGAGTCTCGGTGGCAGCGGCCTTGTCGACACCAAGCAAAGCTGCTGCACCAGCACGCGTGGCGACCTGCGACTGCAGGCGCTGCAGGCGCTGCAGGCTCACGTCGCGTGCCCCGAACACAACCTAAAATAGTTTGTCGGCATCTTCGTGCGGAGATGCAGTCAGGTCTGTCTTGCTCTCACTAGGCCAGCAAAGAAAAGTCCTGCCTCCGCACGAAGAACTCGGCGAAGTTCGCGGCACGACTCGACATCCTGCAGTATTCCACATGGGGACTGAAATGTTCGTTTGACCTTGACACTGCAGTCGGCCTCGGCAATCATGGCCTCAAGCTTCTCACGAGACCTCGAAAAGTTGGCAACCAAGACTTTGGATCTGAATGGGTCCGCAAATTGTGTCCAAGAATTGGAGTCTTTAGAGCAAGCTTGAAGCTCCGCATCGCACCGTCCCTGGCTCCAAGGCGCATTATGCCAAGAAGCTTCTGAATCCAAACTTCATGCTAACATCCAAAATGATTCTCCCTACCCCTCTACCCCGAACTTTAACACCAAAACGTCAAGGTTAACTCGGTGTTGAGCTTTTCGTTGAGGGTCAATCACAGTTGGATCTGGTAGCCCAGTTTAAAATTCAATATGTGCCAACATATCCTGAAACACGAAATATAAATAAATTTGTAAGTCGCGGATTTGACATGAAGTGTTCAGAAATGTCGACAAGGTGAAAAGCTCCACGGCGCCAAAGAACGAAGATCTGCCAATGCAGCATCCGAAAAGTACGCTTCCCGGCCCAGCAGCTCTTCCAAACGCGCGAAGGCCAAGCCAAAAGCTCTCCTGAATGGAAGCGCTTTCTCGATGCCTCGCTCTCCATCGCTCAGTCACCTCAACCTAGACTCTACTTTGGACCTGTTGCGCAGGCGGTCGCTCCACGGACCCAATTAACAGCTGCGAGTATGTAATGTTGTGGTTATGATGCTCCCTGCGAACTGTTGGTGCCCCTTGCCACTGCACCATGAAGCTCTCACAAACGAAACACGTTTGTGTGACCCCTGCAACCTATCAGCGCTGGCAGCCATCAGTTCTCCTGTCAGCATCGCACTCCGCACCCGTCTGCTTGTCCGGGTGAACTCGCAATGCCCAGCGTCGGTACGCGGCCTTAACCTGGATTGGACTTTGTGAGGAAGTGGCTGCATCTGTCGGCGCTCGTGTCTCTTCCCGGCGCCTGCTTCTCATCAATCTCTTCGCTGTCCGCAAGGAGCACGTCGAAGCTGAAGCAAGCAACCACGGTGCGTAAGACACAACTACACAACTCCGAGTAGGGATAGCGCTTTATGCCTAGACAAATTGAGCTCGGAAACCACGCTTCACATAACGCGGGCGTGCTTGGCAGTGCACTCCGCCGAGGCCAGCAATGGGCATCCCAGAAGAAGCACGTGGCAGGTCGTGGAGTGTTGTATTGAAGTACTAAGTAGCAGTGGCACCAGCATTCATTCGTTACTTTTGTAATTATCTTTGGTTGACTCCTGGACATGTTTATCCCCCTTGCAAAGCGTGGATACTTGCTTCAACGATGCGTACGGGTCGTTGTAATCGACTCATGACACTTCCACGGAAAGAGCACACCAGCTTTAGGCAGGCGGCACATTCGGTGCACTGAGTATTCGGTGGACATCGTCCAGCTGTTCCGGCTGCTGATGGTACAGGAGGCCATTGGAGACCTCACCCGAGAGATCTTGGAAGACATGAACATGGCTCCCCGGTTTTTTCACCGAACGTTCTCGGCATCGGGCCATGCCACCAGCCTTCCAGAACCGCTGCTGCTCCTCTGACTCCTCGAGGCCAGCCGCCTTCTCCAAGAGCGGCGTGGCGCTGGCGGCCTGCGAGCTCTCTCACAGAGGCAGCCAGGGCTGCCCCAAACAGCGCACGAGAGGCGCGCCCCGCCCGGGCCGGCCTTGCCCTCCCCCTCGAGAAGCACCACGCGGCAGTCGCCCACACCGCTCATGACCAGGCGGTTTCCTTCGGTTAAAATCTCCACATATTCTCAATCTCCTCCCTTCTCAGTGTCGGTCGCATCGGAAATGTCAGACGTTCGACGAAGTCAGCCCGCATCTACAGTTCGAGACTTCGGCAACAGATCGAGGGGCCCAGCAGCAAGGCCAGCAGCGCAGAGCAGCCACCTGCCACTGCAAGTGACACAAGCGACAGCCACTTCAGTTTTCTGCAAATGGCTGAAGTGCTGCCAAAGCCGCTGTACGGGCTGCATGCTGATCCAGGACCTAGGCAGGACAAGGCCCACGGACACATTCACGACAAGGCCAGGGTCGCCCTCGTTCCTGGGTGCAGAGCCACTCAACAGTTCGCCATCCAGGTCCCGCAGCGTGGCCTCGGTCACCGATATTGGTCCTAGGCCCTAGGCCCTAGGCCCCAGCCATCCGCAGCCTCCAGGACTCCCTGCAGATCCTGGCGCAGCTTGTGTTCCACAACTGCGCAGATCGGATACACCCTGGCCGTCCTCCGTGGTGAAGACGTGTATCTTCTCCGCGAGTCGGGGCAGAAGCTTCTTGTGAAAATTCCTTGAGGATAAGCAATGGCAAGCAACACAATTGCAAACAGCTTGCAGCACAGCAACAAACAGGGCACACAGCCCTGCCATTCCCTGCCCTGTTGCGAGGAGCGACGGCGAACAAAGTGCAGTCGAGGAGCTCGGCACACCACTGTGCTGCGTCGGCATTGCGCACTCCGTAAAAGAGGGCCTTGTGCCACATGACGGTCGAAGATTTTCAATGCGCTCCTCCGTAGTTTGGTTTTTGCCGGAGCGGCGAAAGCGCTGGCAGGACGGTCCACGAAGCTCAGCGGAAGCTTCAGAGCCAACCGTGCGATCTTCGTCACCTCGAGAATACACATACGGCTTTCTGTGCATTCGGCTTCGCGCTACAAAGAACTAGACCCGGCTGCAGGGATTTGGATCTTGTTGCAGCCATGCCTTGCAATTCTATAAATCCGCACTCCCTTCGGCTGAAGACTTGAACACTGTTTGACAATTATGATTATGATTTGTAAATCTAGGCCGCAAGAAGATGCTCTTGTCTTCCGCTTTCGCATTTGTTCAGACAGCAAAACTGGAGCACAACAGAAATGTTACTTTGCCCTACCTACTTGAGATACCTTTCATTTTCTGCCACAGTCTGTAGAATGCTCTGCACAACAATGCGGGACTGACTTTTCCTTCAAGGGTGCAGGGCCTGGTCGGGCCACCCAAATTCCCCAAAAAGCTTTATCTTGATCGGAGTGTGGAAAAAGGTGCCGTAGTCCTAGCTAGCATCCATCTCGGCGGCATCCTCCACTGTACAAGTAGTGCTTGTAGAGAGAGCCAGTCAACAGCTTTTGCCCCTGCTTGGGTCAAGTATTCGCTAGCACATCATTCAACTCGTGCGACATCTCACTTGCGATGCGTTTGCTCCAGAAGTCAATTCAACTCCCAAAGCCCCAGAGTGCCTCTGCCTTTCTTCGTGTCTCTCTCTGTGATACCGACTGCAGGCCCCGAGGCCCTGACATCGTTCAGGATCACAGCACGGTCCAGCTTAGCGCCTCGGCCTCGGGCCATACCCGCTTGCTCAGTGAAAGCTCTCTTTCTCTTCTTCCTTCAGGTCAAAAAGGACATGTCAGGGCCCCCCGGCCCATCCCCACGGCTTGTGGGGCTTTCGGGGGAAGCAGGAGCTTTCTCTCTCTATCTCTCTTCTTCTTTCAGGCTTGAGGGCCGCCTCAAGGCCCCAGAGCATCTGGCCCGTGCGTGGAAACGTGTCACTGGCTGGCAGGTGGCCCCCTCTCTTACTGTCCCCCTCTTTTTCCACAGGGCCTGGGGGATTCCTCCGATGCCCCAGCCTCATGCTCTTGCTTGCTTGCGTGGGGTATGGGTGCATGCAGGCACGCACCCTGGCCCGAGGGTCTACCCCTGAGGTGCGCGACGGTCTGTCTTCAAGGGCCCTTTCGGCTGAGATGGTCCGAGAAACCCCCAAAACCCCCCTACACCCATGGCTTACAGGACCTGCAGGTGGCCCTCAAGTCATCCGGAGTCCCCCCAACTCAGACTAGTCGTAGGAGGTCGCTCGCCGTTATTCTGCCTAAAACAACAGTCCGACACCTAACACCGCAACAAAATGCGTCGCCTTCAGTAAACAGGTCAACTACTGGCGATGTCCCCCTACTACTGTGGTTGCGGGAGCTCCACTCCCTCTCTCTGAAGTTGAAGTTGGCATGGTTCCTTGCTCAACTTATGCTTGCTCAAGAGGCGGGAGCTTGAGGCACTCCCGGCACGCACGAGGAGGTCGTACTCCTGCAGGATTGGCGACAGCCCTCCTAACTCTAGCGGTTGGAGATGTGCGGAGCGGCCTGCGGAGTGTGCGGAGGATCGATGTCCTGCCACTCCGCGCTGGTACCTCGACGGACGTAGCTTCCAGCCTGCATGAGCAGAGATGGCACAGTAACAGGCGTCAGTTGCCACGGATAGCCACGGCTAGATGACTGACACAACGCATGCTGCCTTCTCGCCCGTCTGGAAGAAAAAGACTTGGCCTCGCCAGTCCCCAGGCCAGGCGACACAGAAGCGCGGACTTGCTCTGCGTCCCTCTGTTGAAGGCATTTCCAAGGCTGCAGCTCTGGGGATGCACCAGCCTTGGCTGTGGCTACCGCTTCTGCTACCCTGACCGTTGCACAAGCCATCAAGAACATGCACAGCATGCGCCTTGCAAACAGTGTTCCTTCAAGACAAAGCTAATCAATCTCCTCATGCAAATCCGAAATGATACGCACTCGACACAAGCACCATCGCGTGCAAGGGCAAAGGCTGTCAAGCAGATTGAGCTCAAGAGCTAACCAAGTCACTGCTGACAGCTGAGCATCCTTATTCATCGTTGCGTTCTTGAAAACCTTTATACTGCTGTTGCAAGTTGCATTGCGCCTTTGAGCCTGTTGAATATATCCAGTGCGGGGCTTTTGTCGCGAGCACCGACGAAGCACTTGGGGCGGTACAAGTAATTGAAGCGCGTCTGCATCATATGCAAAATGATTTCTTCACCCTTGAGCAATCACATGCGTAAGCCTCTGAGCAGACAGCACCGCAGGTCCGTATCCGTCCGTAATTGCAGTGGCTCCCTCCCATGATCCAGGGTGGCACATGGCTTGCATCTTCTGCAGGGCGCTGAAGTTAAGTCGACCCAGGCCGTGTGAAGTTGGTTTTCCCAAAGGTCACGCTCAGATTCGCATGAAGTCGACCCATCCGCACAAAGTTGACTCACATACTACCGAGACTGCAAGTCCACGCTTGTTTTGAAGGAGCACAGCCCGACGTGTCAATTCTGCGCGTGGCACGAGACTCTTTGCACAAAGCCAAACGAAGGTTTGATTTTTTAGGGCTTCCACGCCTGACAAAAGGGGAAACAACAAGTACTCGTACTGGCTGTTTCAAGCCGATTTGGGCTTATCATCTACGACTCAACAGCAGATGCGGGAGAACAAGGGTCTGAGTGTCTCGGTGAGCCGGGGTGTGCTGGAGTCTTTGAACCCGGGTGAGCGGCTTGAACATGAAACGGCCCAAACTGCACCGTGATGTGACGGTCAGCTCGCAATCGCTACAGTGTTCAGGTGTCCTCCTGGCATATGCAGCCGCATGTCTTGTACTGCTGTTGCCAAGAACCTTGAGTGGTGCCGAGAGGCATGGTCGGACTGTGCCGCATCCAGCCTTCACCCGGCGGCACGAGCGCCTCCTCGACAAAGTGGGTCGGTGGAGCAGAAGCAGGAAGGCAGCAAGAGAGGAGTCATCGAGCTATGTCGTGTCTCGACGGCGTAGAAGGCCTCCTTGCTCAGAAGCTCCTGGTTGTCCCGGAAACCTCGCACCAGGAGAGAACAGGCTGGCACCGCAAAGAAGTCCTCCCTCTCGGGCCCGGAAGAGGATGGTTGGTGTACAGGTCTTTCTCGTCGACGGCCGACAGCCTCAACTCTCTGCCGAGAAACTGCCGAAAGTCGCATGGAACGTGCAAAAACCTTCTTATCAGGTCCCAGAGGCTGCTGAGGCGTCCAGCGCGTCTTCTTCAGCTTCAAGCACACCTCACAGTGGAAATGATGCACCGCCCTAGAGCCCCATGGCAGAAGCGCGCTCCACACAACTGCGACCAGGAGGCAGATCGTGCCCCAGCCTGGGACATTGCCATGGCTTCGGCAACTCGTACTAACTGTTTCTCCGGCCTCGCCCTCTGCCAAGAACTTCTTGCCAAGCTCCATTCCGTCCTCTTCTCGGAGCAATTGCAGGCCATTCAAAAAGGATTCGGAAAGGATGCAGTTCTGCCCACAATTTCGGAATCCTCAATGGGTCAAACCGCAGCCACGGAGGCACTGGCCTAAACACCCTTAGCATGGTGAAAGCCCCGTTGCAGGGTGTCTGGACGCCGACATGAACACACGAGCTGACAGTCGGCCCCACATTCCAAAGACTTCTCCCGGCATGACTCAGGTCCTTGACTGCTTCTTTGCGGTTCGCCCGTGGAGGCCCCTCCAAGTTCACCGCCTTCATGTAAGGCACCTGCTGCGCAAGATTTGCTCAGCAACGCATGCCAGCGTCCACAGAGCGAGCAACCCACGGGGCTCTTGCGCTTATTTGCGCTAAGTTTTTGGCTAAATGACATAGGGCCTGCCTTGATGTTGCATGTCAGCAAGGCATTGAAGGACTTCGTGACATGTTCCTCGCAGCGAGCTGAATCTCAAGTTCTCAATGCAACCTGAATCTGAAGGTACGCGTTCGCAGTCCGCACATCAAGCTCCCACATTCTGAATTTCCGCACCATTCCTTGACCACCACGTTCAGGACATGGAAGTCTCCTAGAAGAGTTGATCCAGGCATCAGTCGGACTTCAGTTAGCACACATCTAGAATCTAGCCGCTCGATCTTTGCTCTTTGGCATCCTGAGACGGGCTTGCAGGCGGGGTGGATGTTCGCCATGGGGACACATTTGAAGGATGCGCCGTGGCGAGAGATTGTGGTAGGCAGAATCTGAGTATGGGCTGCAACTGCAGCTTGGCCTTGACTGCGTAGCTCGGTAAGCTCAACTCCAGACTCCAGACAAAGAGGTATACTGTCTCATACAGTAATTTGTTTCATGTTACTTCTACTAGTAAGCACGCTTGGTACCAAGTCGTTGGTGCTTGCTTTTTCTGGTTGATGTTGCCTGTAGCCTGTGCAGATTGGATCTCCGGCGTGTGGCGCATGCAACTCAGGAGTGAGCTGGATTTGAGCAGTTCAGCGACAAAGTTTCGCTGAAATGACACCAGGAATCCGGGGATGCTTCAAAAATTCTGAGAGCGGGAGAGGAGGATTCCAGGGGCTGCAGGTACTTGGAAGACCTCGTGGGTGGCGTGGTTTTGAACACGCGTGGTATCAAAGACACCTTGCATCAACAAGGATTCTAACGATGGAACAGAACAACAAGCCCTTCAACAAATCAAAACCCTACACCAACATGCTTGGCATGCAGTGGATCTTGACTGAAAGGTAAGTGGAAATCAACATCAACGCCCGTACAGTCCGAACTGTCAGGTCGCCCCACTTGGGCACCCCATGTGCAGCCTGCACATTGTTGAAGGGATGCCGAATGCTTTGTGAAATCAACTTCTCAGGCCATGTACCCTAAGAGTTTCAGTGGGAGAGGCCAGCCTTTCGGCAAGCACTTCAGCGTCGAACACCTCCACCTAACAAACGGAGTGGCGTCCGGCGTCACGTTTTTGCCTCGCCATTGGAACCCTCGCCATGACTGGGAGCATGCATCAAGGGGGTCAACCATGTCAACCGCAGGGAAAGTTCCACTCGCGAGCTTCTGCGATCAGTCGACGGATATCTTTTGCCGTTCACAGCTTCGGCGCGTGCAAGCACCGATCGCGAAGCAATAGCAGATATCATCATACTCACATGCACTCGCATAGCAGCGCCGTCTCACCGTTTGAGAGAGAACTGCCACGGCCATAATGCTGAGACACTTCATGCGAGTCGTGTACAGTATCGAATTTGTGCGCACCAGCCAATCTATGAATTGAAAGGGCATGTATTGTGACAGAAACTCCGTGAGCTAAAGCGAGGTGCCGTCGAACAATTATCATGACTTCACTTCAGCCAGCACGACACTCGCGCAACGGGGTACACAATGCTCAGCATAGACATCTAATGCTTGAAGGCTTGACGGAGTGGTTCTGAGACCATGTACCCTTAGAGTTTCAGTGGCATGACGGTTCTGGAGCATCGCCACAACTCATGCAGTTGGCGTCGGTTGCGAAGTCTTCGAGGGAACTTCCTGGCTTCAGCATCGGCGTGTGGATACGTCCTTGGCTTCCATCTGCTCGATCTTTCGGCAGAGGCTCTCGCCCCTTGCGGAAGTCATCTTCTAAGGACGAGCCTGAGCCAAGCAAGGCCAGCCTTTCGGCAAGCACTTCAGCGTCGAACACCTCCACCTAACAAACGGAGTGGCGTCCGGCGTCACGTTTTTGCCTCGCCATTCGAACCCTCGCCATGACTGGGAGCATGCATCAAGGGGGTCAACCATGTCAACCGCAGGGAAAGTTCCACTCGCGAGCTTCTGCGATCAGTCGACGGATATCTTTTGCCGTTCACAGCTTCGGCGCGTGCAAGCACCGATCGCGAAGCAATAGCAGATATCATCATACTCACATGCACTCGCATGGCAGGAGGCAGCTGCGATGGTCGCAACACTCTTCAGGCGCCCCGCTTCCATACGTTTCAGGGTGTTCCGTTCCGCTCAGTCACACAAAATCAACGCACAAGTGCAGATGACGCAGCGACCTCAGCACAAAAATGTCCACAGAAGGCCAGGGGAGGCTGCTTGCAGGCCACCCTACTCTCAGATGATCAACTGACGCTCCATGCGTTCAGTTCCAAAAGTTCCAACAAACCCTCGCGCAAGGAAGCCCCACTGTGATGTAAATGCTGAAAGCTGATACGAGTAGGAGCCCAGAGAGAAAGCACCCGTGACGCTGACCGACAAGCGGTCAGAACTAGGACTCGGCCAGCACATTCAGAATTCTTTGCTTCCCGCTCTGTCGCGGTTTGTCCTCCAGCTGGCGATTCCCAACTGAATTCGGCCACAGGCACAGGCATAGACACGACCCCCTATGGCGGTGAAACATAATTCGAGCGAGCCACGATGGTCAAAGTGGAACAGCCAGTCTGACTTACGCTTGGTTGGTACCATATCTAAACCAAGGCAGTGCGTGACTTTGGCAGTGTCTTCAGACCTTATGGCTCCACATCTTGACAATGGCTTGCGACAGAGCTAGCACCCAGTCAGTTCCTAAGAAATCACAGACGGACAGTGACGGGGCGAAGACATGGAAAAAGAAGACCGAGAAAGTAAAGCACTCAGCTACTTGACGCTTTTCTTCATGCCGGTGTCTGCTGCTGAGCATCCCGTCAGAAAACCCAACAACCCCTGACAGGAAGTACTGCACTGCCCGACATGTATGATCTCAGAACCGCACGGCGTATCCATGGTACTCATCTTCCACCGGCACCTGACACATGTGGACCAGGATGGAAAAACACTTGAAACGAGAATCCATGTATCCATGTTGACATCAACACTCACAAGTTCGTATCACGAAGCGGTGTGATTCTGACGACGGGTGCTACCTGACTAGCAACGATGACAATTAAACCAACTGTTGGCTCAGACCAAATACTTTTGTGCACATTCTCACAATATGTATGCATGCATGCATGCATGCATGTATGTATGTGTGTAAGTATGAATGAAACAGTATGTATGCACGCATTTGTACATGTACATACAATATGTTATATGTATGTATTTATATATATATATGTATGTATAATATATATATATATATGTATGTGTATGTTATATATATATATACATATATGTACGAAGCTCCGCACTCGAAAATAAGGCTGCGGCAGCAGTGATCCAGATCTGCCCTCTCGGGATGAGCCTGGGTCCACCAGAACTTGAGGGCGAACGGTCAAGATCAAGGCAGGTAACGGTGGCAAAATTACGAGTTGCAGCAGCAGCATCAAAAAAAGCTGTGATTCGTGCAGACACACTGATATCTTTTTCATGACAATGAACATTCTGAAAGGGTGTCGCATGCTTGTCAAGCCGAGACTGAGGTACCGACGGGAAGCTCGTGGGGAAGCAGTTGGAATCCCACTGGAGAATTTGTTGAGGACCTTTCAGCTTGTCACTGTCCTGGCAAAGCACAAAACAGGATGGGTGTGCATCACCCCTCGAGTCTACACTGGACATGGTGCAGGGCAGAACATGGCTGCTTGAGACCCTATGCTCCTTTTCAAGCACCTGTAGGCTCTCTCGCTTCAGCCACAGGTGGGCTGTTTGCAATCGCCACCAAAGCCGATGCCGCGGCTTGTTGCACACGCGCGTGAGGATCGGCCCTCGCCACTCGCTGGAGGAGCAGCCTCACTCCGGAAGCTTCATCCCCACACCTTCCTAGAGCTTCGGCAGCTGCCCTGCGGACACTCCACTCGTCATCGGACAACGCCTGGCACAGAGGCTCCACCAGCTCTGCACGGCGGATGACGTTCAACTTGGCCAGCTTCCCCAAGGTCTGCACAGCTGCCTGCCGAGCGTCTTCTTCCTCGTCTTCTGTAATTAGGATCAGGGCCTCCATGGCAGACGCCGATGCTGCACCAATGTTGCCCAAAGCCTCGGCCGCACCCCAACGAACGCCGCCATCCTCGTCCTCCAGGAGCCTCGGCTGAAATCCACGGAGCGAGCTCAGATCAAGGAAGATTGTATATGCGGTGCAGGGTCCCTCAGAAGAGTCCAGAAGGTCGCATTGCGTTAAAATTTCTGCTCGAGGAGCCTTTACACAGCATACCCTCTTTACCGTCTCTACCTCAAAACATTCCGCACACGCAGGATGACGAGCAGCATTGTCAGGAGGTTCACTGCAGAGCCATCGCACACATGCCCGACGGCTCGTGCCGCAGCAGTGCGGACGTCTTGGTCGTCATCGTCGAGACATCGCAGCAACTCCGGCGAAGCGACATCGGAAACCTGCTTTCCCATCCTTCCTAGAGCGGCCGCGGCCTTCCACCGGTCGCGCGGTTTGGAGCTGCTGAGTTGCTGCACCTAGACAAAAGTGCAAGGGCAAGACATTAGTGACATACCGCAAACACATCTTGAAACCCCGGGCCGACTGAGTCCGGAACAAGCGCAGTCACCTCACTATCTCCGCTTTCGACCGCATCCACCATCATAACCATGATTGCAAAGGAAACTGGTCTTGAGCCCAGCTGACATTTCAACACGTCACAAGACTGCTCTCCTGCTTGGGTTTCAGTCGGCCACAAGCAGCGCTCAAGTCGCCGCCGCGCCTTCAACAGCTTCTTCACGGCTGTAGAGGAAATCTCCACTCGTGCCTCGGAGGGCCAGGGCCGAAGAGAGCGACGGGGTACCATCAGCACTAAAGCTAAGGTGGTATGAGGCCACAGCCAGCTCCTGCGCACCCATGACCTAGCATGTGGAAAAGGTGGTGCATTGCGAAGGTCTTCACGTCCACTTTTTACTTTCCACATAGGTGCCTTCTGATTCTGGACAAAAAGGAAAAGCTTCTCCTCGTCGTCGTCCTGCCATGGCATGTTGAGCGGCAAGGGCGGAGGGTTGCTGTGATGGGGGCAGGCAGCAGAGACAGTGGTGGATGCAGAAACTGATACGAAGGCAAATGCCACCCCTTTTTGGAGTTCGCAAAACGCGCCGATTTGACGCTACAGCAATGGCTCTGCATGACCACAGTCGGCTTTCTCTGCAGTGTCGCAGATTTGTATGCGGACCCCTGACTCATTTGTCCACGTAGGCTTCGGCTCGGCTTCAGTAGTTAGCCGACGAGCTTCACCTGCCCCAAGAGCTTTACGAGCATGCAGGGCCGCTCAGCAAAAGCGCCACACGAGGAGGCATGTTAGACAGCAGAGCAGCGCTTTTTCACGTTGACCAGCTCAAGCATCCGGCTGCACACATTGATGGGTAGCGCTCCGATCGGTGCCTTTCCATCTTCTTTAACGTAGCGCATCGAGCCCAAAGTCTCCCAAATTTGAAACTGTAACTTTGAATTGAAAAGGCATCGAGCTTCAGAATCTTGTATATGTATATAACGCCTCTGGGACCCTGTGCAGGATTTCACGGCCCTTGCCACAGCTCTCAACTACTCAGCAGTGCCCCTGCTGGAGCCACGTACCTGGGGAAGAGATCCAGCGCTTCACTGTTGAGCAGTTTCCCCAGCCGAAGCAGGAGTCAGCCCGCACCGTTGAGGCAACGAAAAAACATGTCGGGACTTTCCATGAGCTGACTTGGAAAGCCAACAGCTGTACAATGCTTCACAAAACTCGCTCGTGTAATCTGCACTTGCTTGCAAATCCTTCGTGCCATGCACCTTGCCGTCGCATCGGACGTAGAAGTTCTTCTGCATCTCTCGAAAGCGCTGGCGCTCCTCACCTCGCAGAGTCCGTTCCATGTTGCTCAAGAGAGGCAACGTGCCCACAAGCATGGTCCGCTTCATCATCTTGTGGCCGAAGCAGCCCATGTAGGTCGTTACTTGGGAAGCTGCGACTTTGCTGATCAGCTGCTGCAGCGGAGGGAGGCGGAACATTCCACTACCGGAAGGCTGCTCAATGACCCACTCCACCCCTCGTTCCGACATCAGCTGCAAGAAAGTCGTCATGTTCTGAACGATGAAGTTGGCGAGTCGTACCGAGCGATAGTCCGTGTTCCCCCATGGTCGCTGAAGACTCCGACGATGAATTGGTGAGGAAAGGAAGATGAACAACGAGCAGGGAGGTCCTGCGACGATGATACCTCCAGCTTTGATCCTCATGCCGAGCTGCAAGAGGTTCTTGAAACCGCCTTCGCTGCATATGTCGTGTGCAAGGCCGAAATTTTTGATGTCGTAGAGCTCGGCCTTCTTTTTGTGCTGAGCCCATGTCCGCTTGACCGCTCCTGAGGCTCCGAACAAGTCCAGGCATGTCAGATCTCGCTCCCCCTTCCGCTCCCGAATCATCTGACGCAAGCCGGTCATGTGACGCGATGCAGTGTACCATTGATCTTCCTCGGTCGTCGTACTGGTGTCCTGGTTCCCCGACTTCTTGTCATTCTTGCCGTTGTCTTTGACATGGACCTTCTTGACGGCTCTTTGGGCTTGCTGTTTGCTCGTTCCCTTCACCATGGCAGCAAAGCGCAGCGAGACGTCTTTGCTAGACGGCTATACAGTCTACCCTAGCCCTAGCAAGCTCAATCGCAGGTAGGTTGTAGGCCCAAATTTCTGAGGTTGCCATCTACTCTGTATCCTCTGCATCATGATGGTCGGGCAAAGCAGCGAGCGGCAATGTGTTCAAGCTGAAGTTCTGCACAAGCTGGAAGAATGATCACTGCTTGGATCGCCCAGGGTTGCTGGACCTGACCGACCTTCTGACTGTTAGTTGAGTGCAGCTGAGATGCGCCGGCAAGGCAACCGAGGCAAGAGTTCACAAACATTGAGCCTCGGCCTCTGCCACCATCCCAGCTGGAAGCTGCAAGCATTAGCAGCATGGCAGTATGGCCCAATTGCTGCGTGTTTTGAAAGAGGTTTACTGGTTTGTTGCTGTTCAAACCTGGCTCTTCAAGTGGCCTCCTTGCTGGTGGGGTCACGGGCATGGTAGCATGCCACATGGTATATGCTACCCAGCCTTGCACGCTGCTCATGCCGTCATGAATGACGTCAGCTGCAAAACGTGATTCGGAATGAAAAACACTCCATTGGCACACAGGGCAGTTGCTTCGATGCCTACAGAAAAAACCATCACACGAGTCCTCATCAAAGTTGAGTTGCATTGACTCCTTCAGAATGCAATCGCTTCCGGCATTGTTGTGCACCTTGGCGACAACATTGACCAACTTCATCCAGCTGAAAAGCACGGACCCCGACCCGAGTGCGCATTGTCTCGTTGTAGCCCATGTAGGCCTCCACGAAGACCTCTTGCTTGCAACAACACTTCACCCGCTTCGATCATTGCTTTTTCAATCTGACCCTTTTGAGGCGCCAACATGGTTGGCATGGAAAAGGTCGCTGGATGCCAAGTCTTCGACTTTCCAGATCAGCAACTGGCCACAACAGTACCGATGCTGCCAATGCTTTATCAAGTCTTCCGCATGAAAGTTCTGTGCCGCTATGTGCCTCGATGGGTTTGAAGCGAGCGGTGCTCCAGCAGTTCAAGCAGTCCTTTGCCTTTGAACATGGGCGGATCAGGCAAAGGACGTTCGGCGCTCGTGTCCCGTTCCCTTACATGTCAGTCGTCCCTTTCTCCAACTACTTTCTTCAGCGGCTTGTCAGTCCCAAGGTGTGGTCGTGAATCACCCCTCCCTGTGCAGCGTCGCTCCTGACCGCTCATTTCAGGCCACGAAGAAACCACTAAGGAAGACCCCAAATGAAAACCTAGCAGCTGCCGCTGCTGTCGCTCGTACATGTCACTCCGTGCAACAAGATTCACTACACAACAACAAGTGATCGACAAGCGCAGCTGTCTGGTCACGGTCCACATGTGCCTCCGTCAAGGATCAAAGGCTGAACGAAGAGTTTCAATTGAAAAGAGGGCCACGAAAGCTAGAGCAAGGAAGCGCAGCAGGGAAAGGGTGGGGCGACAAGCGAATCTATTGCCGCACAGCACTGCGAATCACTCGAGCGTGGCGGAGGCTTGGCGCAATAATTATGTACGAGTCAAGAAAATATCCTACATTGTCAGAAGTGTCCACGGTCCCGCTAAATGCTGACAGTTGTTGCAACTTTCACTTGCAAAAGAAGCAAGAAGCTGCTTGAAACTAGTGCCGATCTTCCAGGCTGGAAGCAACACGTATGCACTGCACAAAAACCATCATTCCGTGTTCAAGCACTGTCAAACCACCAAATAAGCTCCAAAATGCGATTTTTGACCTGGGTCATTGCTACAGAGATGAATCTGCAAGCGACAACTCCCGCAAGCTCCACAGAGCTAGCTTTGAGTCGTGTCTTCTTGCTGAAGAATGTCAGACAGGGTATGTCAGGGACTTCTGGAAGGGACGGGGTGGAGCCTCTGCATTCACCAGGAAGCAAACATCGCATGTGCGCCGTGTTGTCGATCTCTGGAGTCTTTTGAATGTGGGGGAGGGTTATCCTCATGCGAAGTGAGCAATTTTCGAAATCCCATAGCTTTGACTGCACTGCCCTCGGGCACCTTGCAGTTGAAGAGCTGCTTGTGGTCGAGACCCAGCATGAGCGCGATCCTCTCCTTGAAGGCCACCTGCCAGATCGCAACTACACTGAAGCAGCCAATTGGGGCCAAGACAACTCGGAGAGAACTGCAGAAGTATCTTTTTGCCCAGAGCCGGCAGCTTTCTTCTCAGACTTAAAGCTCTAGACAGCCCCGTCGATTGGGCTTCTTTGCTGGAGGTCCGCCCTGGTCCTCAGCAAACCAAGTGCCAGCCCCGCAGAATCGTTGAAGCCAGTGCCCGATTCTGGCAAGTGTCTCCCAACCGAAGCAGCGCAAGGCTGCAGCCGAGGGCGGCCAAAGATAGGAGCACATCGCCTCGAGAAAGGACCCAGAACCCCACAAATCCCTACAAGCTTCAACTGCATCTGTGGCCTCCTCGTACTCCTGAAGACGTTTGTGCTGGCTCCGCTTGGGGCGGGCTGAGGCCTTCCTGGCATCCCCTCCCCTGTGACGGTTCTCAAAAAACATGCGGCGGATTGGGCAGGTCCTGTAGCCAGGGTAGAAGCCTCTGCTTCATTCGCTTCGGATTTAAGCTCACTTGGCGGATCTGCTGCCCATCCTGCAGGCAATCTGCTCGCAATCCGAAGCAAGGCCCTCCAATCTCAAAGTCTGCAGAGCCTAAACCCACCGCCATGGACATGCTTGAGAGCGCTCAGCTGAAAGGAGCCGACAGCCCCTCTTTCAAGCGCCTGCCTTGTACTGGGCAATCGTCGGATACATGTTCACGTTTTCCGTGTTGCAAAGCACCTGTCCAGACTGCTACTGAAGCTTGCACTAGCTGCAGTGCTACAGGCCATTCTCCGAAGAGAATACAAAATTTCCTGCAGCAATCCTGAGTTTAGAAGTGCTGCTCTGAGCAGCTTGGCCTTCTCCGTCGCGCAGTCGACGATTGCAAAACGCACCTCAGGCCAATGATCATTGTAGGCAGCTGTGCTTCAAGGGCTCTGCTCATGCAGGACAAGTGACTGCTGCTGTGAAATGTCCGGTATTGAGCTTCTTCTGCCACTCTGTGGCTTGCCTCAACAAATCAAAACTCTGCAATTCGCGGACACTCTTGGCTAGAGAACATCCCAAGGCCCAAGACCTGGTTGCCATCTTAGGCGCTCAGAGAAAAGGAGCTCGAGCTGATGGCAGGGCTCCCACCAAGAGGGGCAGAAGGCCACCACCCATTGCTCGGCACCGCCTCAACGAGCACAGGGCAATGACAGGTATGACAGGCTACTCAGCCCACGCCGCCCCACCTCCTTCGACCGTCTTAGCGGTCCCCTGAAAGAGGATGCTGTTCAGGCGTGCCAACTGCCTGTCAGCGGCGTCCAAGCTCATTTTTGAGCACAGGGAAAGCCGGCTCTGCATTCGTAGCATTGCAATAAACCCGTTCATCAGCAGCCGCTACCACTCTGTATGCTCTCAAGAAGTTTGCTGCTTCCACGCCACACCTTCTGCACCTCGTGACAAACAAGTCCCTTTTGGCTGGGCTCACTGAGCCGTCCGGAACAAACTTCCCAAATTCACCAACACCTAAGGCCTACGAGTCTACGAGCCTTCCCATGTAGTGCTCGCTGAAGCCTGTTAGTTCCTCCGGCGATGTCCAGCTATCACCGATCACCGGCACCTGTCATGCAATGATCTGTCCGAACGCCCCAGGCGCTACCATGCCTGCCATCCGCACCTCTCTGGCTGCGGCAATGGAGACCATACAGGAAAAGATGAGGCTGAAGGATGCCATGGCGAGACGGTACGGGAAGCGTGAGTGGACGAAGAGAGCGAATCTCTCTCCGATGCTACAATTCGGGGCAGACCGCTGGAAGCTCGCGGAGGAACGCTCAGACAAGTTCACCGGGGCTCTACAATTCCACGCTGTTGCAGCACATGCAGCGCACCACGACGCCGAAGGCGATGATCATCGCCTGGCTACACACGGCTTGAATCCGCTCGTCATCTTGGAGTGCTGAAAGCTCGCCAGGACAACCAAGGAGGTGGCCTCAGTGCAGCGATGCGACAGCCGACAGACCATAGCGATGCTCTGAATGCTGATCGAAGGGCCCATTTCAGCACATGGCCAAAGGCCCAGCCAGCAGACTTAGCCAGTACCTCAAGGCTTGCTGCTTCGCCACTCACGCCCCGAAGTCAATTCCAGAATCTGGAGCAATGCGAGCATTGCCGAGGCGACAACAGCTACGTACTGCGCGAATGTCCAGTCCGGAAGCCACTGAATCACCTTCAACAAGCTTTCGGAGCAGGAGCGAGGCCTGAATGTGGCCGCACCACTTTGCTATAGCATAGGAGCCGTGCCAGGTACATCAGCAAGACGTTAAAGAGAGTCATGAAGGTGTAGAAGTACTGCGCAGCCAGGCAACACACTATGGCATACAGCTCGACGGTGAGTCTTCACAGCACACCACACACTTCGAGCTATTTTCTGTTGTACCAAGCCAAAATCCTCGAGGATGATGTCCTTGGCGGAGCTTTGCCTTGTGTTGTTGAGAGCGCTGCCTTTGGACAAGATTGAACAAATAGAAGCCTTGCAGTTGCAAGAGCGTGAGATGTATCGCAGTGGGAGGCGCGCCCTCACACTGGATTTCGCCAAAGCATGCATGCCCACACTACTCACATCAAACAATTATGTGGGACTCCAAGATCAGCGGAAAAAAACATACGCTTTCAGCAGCCGGGAGGCTTACCGTGTGGAAGCAGTAAAGCTTCCAAACGATTCTTTGGTTAAACAGGCACAGCCAACTGCTTGCCACGACTTCGAGGTGTTCTCACTTGACGGTGCCCCTGGCCTTTGACTTGTCGGTCTGCGCAGGCTTGAAGACATACTGGATGAGGGAATCTCTTATGGGCAGCATGCCCGGAAACTCCTTCCACATCTTGTGGGGGCTTAGCTCATTGTTCGAGCGCGCCGCTGTGATGACCTTCGCCTGCTCCTCAACTGTAAAGTTGCCCCACTTGAAGTCCGGGTCGATGTAGTCCCTGTACAGCTCCAGAACTTGATTGTGGCTGATCGCTCCAGGGTTGCAGAAGTTGTAGACACCCACCAGCCGTCTCAGGCCCATCTCCACTGCATAGGGAAGGAGCTCCGGAAGGACTGTCATGCTGTTAGGGATGTTGACCACTTTGTTGTAGTGGGCAATCTTATAGATGAAATTGCGCTTGTTTGTCAGGATGTCGCCATCGATGGGCATGCGAACGCGTAGAGTCAGAACATGATCGAACTCGCGAAGCATATTCTCCACGTAGCCTTTCGTTTCGGAGTAGAAGGAACCGGTGAAATTGGGGCGGTCTTCCTCACTGAAGGTAAGTGACGGGTCCTTTGCGACCAGAGAGTCATGACGCTCGATCTTTTCGGGCTTCTTCTCATCATAATGGAAGATGCATCCTGTAGCAAAGTTGGTCATGTGAATACCGTGGACTGCGCAAAGGTCGGCAAGGGTCAGGGTTCCAATCACATTCACCCGAATGGTCTCCTGACGATGTGTCTCACACCAGTCGACATTTGGACGGCCCGTCAAGCCAGCTGCGTTCATCACGTGAGTGCAGCCACTGTGGAGCAGCTCACGCTCCACACTCTCCCGGTCCTGCAAGCGGGAAGAAGCCCACTCCCAGGCGAAGCCCCTCTGAGTTAGCAGATCGCCAATCATGCCGCCAATCCAGCCGGTCCTTCCGAAAACCAGGAACTTGACCTTTTTGGCCTTTTTCGCGGGGGGCTCAGCATGACTGGAGCTTTGCTGTTCAATGCCTGGGGTCTCCAGCCTTGGAATGGGAACAGGGTGTGCAACCAAGACAGAGTCCATATCACAGTCTGCCCAGAAAGATTGGCCATGGACAGTGAACCAATCTACTGTCTGTTTCAAGCCTTCATCAAATTTGATGGTCTCCTTCCATCCCAGCAGCTCCAACTGCTTCAGATCAAGGAAGTAGCGCATGTCGTTGAAAGGTCTGTTGCGCACATGTTCGATCATCTTCTCCGGCTCCACATCCGGCTTCATCATGGTGACAATCTGTTTCACGATGTCGATGACCGAGTGCTCCTCGGAGGTCCCAATGTTGTAGGTGCTCCCGGTGACCCCCTTGTGCAGGATGATGTCAAAAGCGGCTGCCACGTCCTTAACGTGCAAGTACGAGCGCTTGCTCAGACCATCTCCATGCACCGTGAGCTTCTTGTTCCTTTTCAACATCATGATCATTTTGGGAATCAGCTTTTCCGGGTATTGGCGTGGGCCGTAGACGTTGTTGCCACGGGTGACCAGGACGGGCAGTCCGTAGGACCGGTGGTAGCTTTTCACCATCATCTCTGCAGCGGCCTTCGAGGCTGCGTAAGGGTTCGTAGGATCCAACGGAGAGGTAGCCTCAACCTTCATGTCCCCTTCATCGTGGTAACTAGCGTTCTCGCCGTACACCTCATCAGTGCTAACATGGATGTATCGCTTTACCTGATGCTTCATCTCCTTCAGCACCTCCAAAATTCTGTGAGTGCCCAGGACATTGTCATCCGTGAAGGTCACAGAGTTGCCAAAGGAGAGGTCCACATGCGTCTGTGCCGCGAAGTGCATCACTGTGTCGATGTCCTCTTGCTGGATGATGTAATGGAGCAAGTCCGGGCTCTTGATGTCTCCTTTCACGAACTTGAAGTTGGGCTTGCCCTGCATGGAGTCGAAGTTCTTTGTGTTCGAGCAATAGTCCAACCGGTCCAAGATGACAATCTTGTACTTTGGATAGGTAAAGAACAAGTGCTCTGCTACGTGGCTTGCAATGAAGCCAGCTCCGCCTGTCACGAGTATGTTCCTAGGCTCGTAAACCACCTTCGCCATTGCTCTAAGGTGCTTCTGTCGAATTCCTAGCTGTCACTTCGCTATCGGCTATGTGGAGCCGAGCCGCCCAGGTTTGAACCCAGTGGCTCAACATAAAACGCTCAGCTCTCAATTCATGCACGCGCGCTTGTCTTGCGCGCATCAAGATACATGCGTGAAGAGTTGCACAAGGCACGGCTGAGGGGGGCAGCCCACCGGCAACCGCTGCGACATCCTGCTCGGACATGGAGCGAGCACGGAACGGAACCAGCCCTGAGAGCTGATTTGACAGAATTTGTTTCAAGCTTCGGTCCAGGATGCCATCTTCCTTGCACTTGGCGAGGACATGCCGGCGCAGTAGCACTGGGCGTGGCACAAACATACCAGAGATTGACGCTCGTGTACAGTGGATGACGACCATCACCATCCTCCTCCGCATCATCAACATCGCTGTCGTGGTCATCATTGCCACCGTCAACATCAGCATCAGCCGATCATACTCATATAAGCATCATCGTCATCATCGACATCGCCGTCATCATCATCGTCATCATCGCCACCGTCAGGAAAAAAACATCATCATCACCATCATCCTCATCGTCATCATTGTCATCACCATCATCATCAGCAGCAGCATCATCATCAACAAGAACGACAGCGAAAGCGACAACGGCAACCACAATTTCTCTTTAATTGGACGCTGCGCGAGCGTGCTCTGCGCATGGCGGGCGCATTGCCGAACCCTGCACTCATGTGAAACTGGGATAAGCTGACTCAGTACTCATTGGTAGAGAAAAAACATGACGAAAGCATGACATCAAATTACTTCGTGGCATCAAGGCTGACTCACTGACGAGCTCGGTCTACCTCCGTCACCCTCAGTGTGAGCCAACGCATCCGATGCCCACGAACCAAGGCCTGATGGGTCGCACTCCGTGTCTGCAGGCGACAGCTGAGCCGGGTCCCTGAGTCCCTGGTGGCGTCCCTTGGTCACTTTTAGGCAATGGCGATGGGCCGTAATGATTACGAGAAGGATGCTGCAGCACCTGTTTCGATGCAAGGTGCGAGATGCAGGTTTGCATCTGTATGCGCTTGGCACGAGCAGCACGCCTGAGGTCTTATAAAGGTCGAGGCACATCTACTTGCCTAAAGTGCAAGTCTCCCAAAGCAGCTGTATTTTTGACAGGCCGGCTAGTCACTGGTCGCGAGTGACACCTCGCCTTTGCAAAAAAAGCGCTAGCAGGTGACGCAATGTGAAAAGGCAGCAGCTGGTCAGCGATCGTGCATGGCTGGTGCAAAACGCAATGTACGGCTGGCCTGAACGCAATGAAAGAGCCTTGCGATAGGCCGGCGCGTATGCGCCAATAACGATTGGCAAGCCCAGCACATTTCAGCTTGAAAAAGATGAGTTGATCAGGCTGTGCCTGCGTTATGTAAGGCTGTGCCGTTTTGCTTTGATTCAGCCGCGGCCATACGATTGGTAGCCATGCCGATACCAAGGCTCCTGCTCAGAGTGCTGCTCCTCACCTCCTCATCTTCGTCCTCACAACCCTGGTTCCAACTCCAGGATTTCCAAGACCAGTGCTCACATCATCAACAGCAGCAGCACGGCTGTCACTAGCGGTCACTAGCGTGTTCAGAGTTCGCCATAATCGCCATCATCAGCCTCGTCATCATCACCGCCACCATCGTCGCCTTCATCATTGCCATAGACACAAACGATGGGCAATGATGGTCAGAACTTTGCAACAACACAAAGTCCGCGAAACGAAGGTGTCGTGCAACGTGCCTCGCACTTGCCTTCACGTGACACGACGACTGCATGAAACTTGCTTCCGTCGTCCAGCAGCTTTAAAAGTTGATTTGCGCTTCTTCTAGAGCGCTTCAACTTCAACTCTGCGACATGTAATCTGATCTGAGCCCAGCTACTAGTAACCGCCCTTGTCCAACCAGGGAGTCGTGGGCACAATCTTACTGGAAGCGCGGACTCGTATTGGGCCCCGACGGGAAGGCAGAAGAGCCAGGCGCAGGTAATGGTGGTGAATATCAGGATCCACCTCAAAACGGTATCAAGATTCCGTTGAACAAGTGCGATTCCGGGGACTGGACCCCTGGTACTCTGCGTCGATGTTCAACCTGGTGGCAACAGGACCCTGCAAACACCAGCACCGATGCGCACTGTGCATCCGGCCTGTAGTCCAGCACTTGGGTCGCATGAGTTTGTATCTGATCCAGCGGTGGCTTGGTGGTTTCCATTGCCCCTTGGTCCTAGGCAGGACCTCTCCGAGCACCAAAAGAACTCGCAAAAGAGATCTGGTGTACTCTGCGTGTACGGTTATCTGCTAGCTGTCGAACGTGCTAAGGCAAAACTGGCAAACCCCTGAGTCTAAAGCCTACCGAGTAAGCCAGTACCCAGCTGAAGGTTCTGGCGCTTCTTCTCCATTGCAGGATGCTTTCGACTGACATGTGTGGAGACTTTGCCAGCGAGAATCTCGAGCTGGCTATGGTACTGAGAGACAACAGCGACCAACATGAGATACCATGAGCTGGCAAGAGCACTCTGACCAGATCGAAGCACAAGCCGACACTCGTTATCGGATCTTCTGTCCACAAACGCAGCCAGACTATGGACCACTCTACTTAGTCAAGCCGTGCAACGACCTACTGCAGCATGCAGCTTTTGTCGCTCAGGTGCCCGAGCACCAAAGAATAACGAATCATCGCTGCAGCCATCACGTGACTTCAAAGCAATCCATCACAGCGGAGATTTGTTCCAGCTGCTCAGAGACCAGCACCGATCCGCCGCTGTCCTGTGGCTACGGGGTCCACAAAAGCGAGAGAGAAAGAATTTCTGCGAAGAAGGCAGGCTCATCAGTCACCCCTGTAGTCCTGTAGACAAGGCTGCTGCCCAGCCAGACACCCGGAGCACGAGCGGATCGTCCTGCAATGCGACCGAGTTTCCTCGTTTTGCTCTACTCAGTCCGGGAGAGCTGTTTCTGAAAGGAAACACCTGCACAATCACGCACGAAGAGGGGATCTGTTGGGATTTGTTGACCCCTGAGACTGAAGACGGGGGTCCTCGACTTGGAAGGCCAATGGACACCTGAGACTGGCCTACTGGGGCCTACAGCAAGATGGGCCTAAGAAACGCGCTACCTGGGGCTGGCACGTCGTTCCACGAGCCTTCAGCCTGGCCGCCTCAAAGCAGAGGCGCGGTGCTCCAAAACCACGCCTCCTCTTTCGCTGCGCCGCGCGGCGCCCGCGTCTGCGCCTGTCGATCTGCGGACTTCAGGGCTTGCTCGTAGGCCTGGGCGTCAGGCGCCAGGATCCAAGCATGGCGCCAAACTCAAGGCAAGGCCCCCAAGGCCCGCAAGCCTTCGCCACGCTCTGGTCCAAGAAGATCTCCGGATCCAGCTTTCGTGATGTAGGCTGGAAAGCAGGAGCTTCAGCTGTGCCGACTGTGCTTACTGTGCATGCTGCACACAAAATGTGGCGAACGGCCTTGAAGAACGGCCGCTCAAAAAGCTTCGCCAGCGTAGAGACCGCAGGCAACTGGCAGCAAGCACGGTGCTTCAGAACATGTCTAGCTTGCAGTTCTGACGAAGTTGCTGCAAACTCGAGCCGCGCGCATGGTGACGGAAAAGCAGCTGAACCTCCCACAAGGAACTGGAAGCGACCTGGCACATGGCTGCAAGGCGTCCGGAAAGACTGATTCAGCAAGCTATTGTGCTTGCCTAATGGCTTTTCTCAGCAACTGCATAGCTCACCACTTCAAGCCAAAACACGGACTGCTCCCACATGTCTGGGAAGACTTTCGCATGCAGTGACCCTTTCTCTCATGATTGCCTGCTTGGTGGCCTGTGTGAGGTCTGCCTCGCTGTCGAAGGTATCCTTCGACTTGGTACAGTCGCTGCTTCTGCATCTGCTGGAGAGAGCTGGCATCACTACAACGAATATCGACTTGTGCCCGAAAGATGAACGATACGCAACTCACAATGCAACTGTGTTCGACAGGTAGCAGCAACTACGCTTAACAGCAGAAGCTTCCAGCTTCCAGAGGCATGACGACCGGAGTGCCGGAGGGCCCATGATCAGAGGAGGTCCCTTTTACCTAAAACCTCGCCCCAAAACCCAGCCTCTGCTAGGGTTCAACCCTCGGGCGTCCTAGTGATCCTAGCTTTCGTAACTTCTACATGCCGGACTTATCTCGCACATTGCTGGCTGAGGCTGTCATGTCGCAGCCCAAATAACACAGTGCTCAAAACATCATCACCTGTGAGAACTGGCGGCGAGTTTGCCAACAAGACCCCAAGACTCTTTGTGCATTGCACCCACCAACTGAATACTCGGGAACGACTTGCGGGCCCGTCCTTCGTCAGGTTCGACATCCCTGGCGCACATCATGCTGGCTGTTGAAGGGCACAATCGATTTCCAAAAGCCCCCACCAACAGCGACCCTTCACAAAGGCGGATGCAAAAGCCACCCCACTGAACAGCGCAGAAACAACATCGCCTTCAATCTCTTCCCGATGGAGAAGGAAGCTGCAGTGGCTGTGGTTCCTGCATCCATCTACCCAACAGGCCGTGCAGAAAGGACCTCCGCCATTGGCAAAGCCCTAAAGATCCTAACATGGACGGCTGCATCGCCATCCTCAGGAGGGCTAACCACGAGCCTCTGGATGAGGCCGTATGCCAGGCTCAGGAGCCACAAAATGCTCCCAGGCCTTGTCGGAGCAGGGACGCAGGATGTTGACTGCTCTAGCCGGAAGCTTTTCCTCCCGGGGGGCAGGGTGGAGATTTGATTGTCCGTTTCGCTCTGGTTTTGCCCCTGCCAGTAGTGGCTTCGGGAAGGTGGCAGCAGCAGCAGCGGCAGCAGCAGTAGTGGTAGTAGCAGTAGCAGCAGCAGCAGCAGCAGCAGCAGCAGCAACAGTAACAGAAGCGGGAGCAGCAGTCCGATTGCAAGCCGACCCTGGATCTAAACCTGAGGCTTCTGCTCCGGAAGCGCGATTGCCACCCGGAGACCTCAACTCAGGTGAGTCTTGGGGGCGTCATGGTTTTGTCGCTGCCCGAGGTGGGCAGCAGACGCAGTAAGCATGCACAGTTGGGGCGGCCCGGCGCAGATGGGGATATAGAGGTTTCTTACTAGCTGTGTCGAGCCGCAGAGCCCATATGTAAGAAGGATACACTGACCGAAAGGAGGAGGGCCGGACATTTCTTGGCGAAGGCTGCCGCAAATCCGCCTGGCCTGGAAGCAAGTTGGATTCCGTCAAAACGGACATGTCTTGACATCGACGACTGTACATCTGGAAGCACAGATGCGAATCTGGTAGCAGCTGAGTCGCAGTAGGCCACTAGTAAGAGCAGCTGCCTGCAGCCATGTCACAGCCAAGAGCTATCCACAAACAGCTCCTGCGACCTCCTTTCTGCTGTTGCGATGCTCGAAATTGGCACATGCTGCGACTTGGCAGTCAAACCCTCACGACAAATCCCACATGAAGCTGAGGCTTGTGCTGCCAACCGCTGGAAGCGCGCACGGCCTCATGCGACGTCACGTTGCGGGACTTGGATGGTCTGCCAGGGTGTATCCGGTCTGCAAACAGCAATCGCTCAGACTTTGCATTTTAACAAGCTGACCAACCCTCCGTTCCAAGTGGTAGAGCGGCCTTTGTACAAGTTCTACCACTCGCTGTATAACAGTCACTAACTTGCTGTCCAGAAGGTTGCGAGCATGAGACCGACTTGCTTCGGTCATGATGCACGTAGGCAGGGAGCAGATGCAGCTGCCAAACGCATCACCACAAAAATTGCACTAAATTGTAATTTAAACTGTGCGGGCGGTTTGTCACCTCAACAAGCCCACCATCATGTCTTTACAAGTTACAAGTGCTGAGTTGTAGAGCTGTCTCTCGATCTCTCGATCTCAGCAGTGAAAACGACGAAGCCACGCTGAATTCGGCGAATTGCTGACACATGCCGGCATGCATCCCTGTATGGCAGGCTACGCAACATGATGTTGCCGGTCACCAAAAAATGGAGCGGGCCTCATCTCAGATATATCAGGCTATGCGACTTGAAATCGCTGGTCACCAACGGAACTGAAGTGGCCTCACGGTAAAATGGGTTGGCTGTCCGACGGAGCTTGCTTCATCATGGAGCCGTAGCTAACTTGGCAGCCTCCACAGTGGCCACTGATGCAAACTGCACACTCAAAGCTCGCAACAGATCTCCGGCACGACTCGAAACAGTGGTTGTTGCCGCAACTCGAGCATCCACTGAAGCAAGAGTTGATGGAGCACCGGGCATAGCAACCAGATGGATCCGGATGGCTGTAACAAGGGGTGCCGCAGCCATGCAGCAGGGAACCTCCCGTTGCGCAGGTCCCTGCCTGTCTTGCCAGAAAGCTCACGGGGCCATCTGCCTCCTCACCGGTGGCGCCCAGAAAGAGCTTTGTAAAATCGTGTCCAACATCCGAAAGCGAATGAGACTCGAAGTTGAGTGCCTTGCTACAGTCCGAACACTGGGTGTCCAGGCAGGTTAAGCAGGAGCTCGAGGAGTTGCCGGAGCACTCTTTTGCACAGAATCGTCGGCCACAGTCGACTTGTGTTCCGAGACAGGAGGCACAAGTAGATGGCACCTTTAAGTCGATCAGGCAATCGGAAACACACGCCGCCTTTGTGTCCTTCTCTGAGCATTGCTGCGCACATGTGTGCAAATTGTTCTGGTTGTCAGATAGGCAGCTGCCCTCTGCCAATGGCAGGCTGGCCATTACCACCACCAAGACACGACCGAACATCATGGCACGAGTGAGAAGCTGGCACGACAACCTGCTCGAGCTTGGCAACAACTGCACCCAATCGGACTCTCATGTCTCTCATGTCGCAATGCTGTCATTGAAAGTGAGTCGCCACGTCTATGCAATTCAGCTGGAAAGACTGGGATGTGCACGCTTCAGTCGGAAGGTGGCAGGCCGAAGCAGGCTGTAGAGCTGGGAATAGAACCTTTCTTTTCCAAGATACTGCTCAACTTCGCAGGCACATGAACCCAAAGGCCTGTCCACAACATGCCCAAACATTGACGACGAGTGTCACGCACTGATGCACTGTCAGCGAGAACTCTTTTCAGCATCTGCTGTCAGTGTTGCTTGCTAAGTGCCGGGCTCACCACAAGACGCAGAGAGGGTCTCCGGATCACCAAGACCATACCGAGTGAGCCTAGCACGACTTCTAGCACACTACCTGCCACCCGTGAGCTTGTATACCCTCCCCACTTCTGTCACCACTGGTGCCACTGCCGCCCTGTGAAACATCACTGATGCCGCTCTACAACAACAAATACCTCACCACTGCAGTGGCTGCCGCTGCGGCAGTGCGTCAACATCACAATTATGGTGGCCCCTGCTGCTATCACGACCACCACCACCACCACCACCTGTGAAAACGACGACAACGACGGCCACGACCGCGACGGCACCATGGATCACCATGGTACTTCAAAACGCAGCTGCTTCAGCAGACAGCAGCTTTGAGAAGAGATGATCTGAGCCCCCATCAGCAAGAGCAGGCCGCTCAACGCTAGAACGGAAATCTCCAGGGAGCCTGTTGCACTGCTCGCGACTACAAAAGCTTCCAGGCTCACTTGCGGGGTTTCGCCTAGCCTGCATGGAAAGCTCGTAGGTAGAAGTCAGACAACAGCAGCGGCCGACCTTACCAGAATGTCTCAGCAGCCCATCAGCTCCGATGCCACATGTTGGATCTCCAAGGCCGAGGCTCAGATGTGGAATCACAGAAGTGGGCAGCAGCTGGAGCCTGGCGTTAGCGATTGAAAAAAGGCCCGCTATGCTCGGGGGACATCTCGAGACTCGGGTCCCTGCAAGGCGCTGCAGTGGACAAGTGGCACGCGAAGTCCCAGCCTTGCTCCGCGAAGGTGAGAAGGCCCCGAGGCCGCTCTCAGATCTCAGCATCCCACAGCTTTAGCCAGGCTTCTTGGAAGAGCTTCCTGTACTCGCGGCGGTAGTGGCCCAGAGGCCTCAGCTGCTCACAGTCTGCGGGCCTCCACAAGTTACGGATTCGACGAATGTCTCGAGCATGTTCCCACCTGCTGGTGGGCAACAGCAGCTCGCCCGTGACCTCCTCGTCCTCAAGGGGTTTGGCGTTGGGCAACACTGCGGTGTTCCTCAATCATCTCACACAAGAAACACTGGAGCTTCGTGAATACCGAATTTCCGAATGCCTGTGTTGGCCTTTGGCTGAGGCGGCATAATCAGGCTGAATCATGCTTTCGATGGCAGCCGTGTTGTTTTCAGTGTTTCGGCTGATGTTTGCAACAACTCTGGAGGATCACGTGCTTGCTGCAGGTCCGACTGGCAATCGTTTGTTCTGTGCTGTTTTGGCGCAGAACCTGTCTCAGAAATCGCAAAAGACTAGCTGTAAAGCTCGAACACTCCCCTGCCCTGCCTGGGCTTTGACAGGATCTGGTTCCGGAGCCTGGAGCCAGAACTCAGAGCTCAGGTCAGGTGGAAAACTTGCAACACAATCAAGTCATGTCCCACTTGCAGCGCATATCAAATATTATATTGTCTGCCATGCAGTCAAGTCTGTCACTCACCTAAGCCCCTACCTGTTTCAGCAGGGCCAGCAGCCTCTCGAAGAGCTCCTCTGCGCTGCGCCCTGCCAACTCGCACTCAAGCCACAAGCTTCCAGGAAAAAGCATCTGACACAAGCACTCCCTCTTTCCAGGCCTTTCTGAAAGGCAGCTTCTGCCTGAGCAGACCCCGACGCTCTTGAAGTCGACTCATTCTTAAAGCACCCGTGGAACATGCAACCCGTCAGCTTGTGCGGTGTAGAGGGTTTGTGCGGGAGTCTGCAAGAAGGACTAAGGCGATTGAGGTCAGCGCAAAGGGCCCATGCAGGCGCTTGCGCTTGGTGGGTGGCTCGGCCTCCTGGACACGCTGACCATGCTTGCAATGCTGGCTAGTCTAAGCTGGTCTCAGCTAGTCTGAGGCGTGTGAAGGGCTTGTCAAGTTGTTTACAGTAGCACGCCACCTCGCCCTTGTCCGTCACGGTTGTGTCTTTGGACACCTGCCAGACATGTCCTTTTGCAGACTCAGAAAGCACCAGGCCAACAAAAACATCTTGCAGGAGCCTCACTGCCGGGTTCACGGCTGACTTTGCCCACCTTTCAATCAAGACTTCGGCTCACGACTGAAGGTGCTGAAGCATCCGTGGAGACAAACTTCGCTCAGACTGGGCCATGCCCACCTGCTCTGCACAGCTGCGCAAATGGCTCATCATATAGTGCCTGGTCCGGTGTCTCTGGGAGACAGTATGTCCACCACTCGAAAGTGTGGGAGGGTGTTGTATACCCGCCGCTTGGGGTGACAATTCACCCACATTCACCCACGACTGCGGTTCAAAGCTATCGACATGGCTTCGCTTTGTCGAAATACACGCGGTGTATGGTACCTTACATAACCAAGGATGCGACTTCGATTTACGATGCTACAGTAACAGAACTGTCGGCACAATGGCTGCCAACGGGATAAACGTTTGGCACAGCGCACATGGCGCACTCGCTGTCTTCCCGACTCCACCCGCAACCAGAGCCGACGTGAAGTCAAGGCCCTGGCCTGAAGTCGTCGTACTCACGAACGTATTCAGACATGAGGCAGTCCACCTTGTGCAGCTCGAGACTCGCTATGCTTGACATGCTCGCAGTCAGCTCCTGGCGACTTGGCTATTCCACCTGGCAGAAGAGCAGACGAAAGTCCAGGGCCGGCTCTTTGCTCACAGTGCCTGGGTGCCAGGAGCAGCTCAGTGAGCAGCGTCTGGATCTGAAGTTCAGGCCTTGCGAGCCTGAGGTTCTGAAACACATCGGAAAAAGAAACCGCACCGTCCGCTTGCTGGATGCAGCTTTTTTGGTGCACCGCCCAGGCTGTCGATGATGGTCTGAAGCCAAGGCTGGCTATGTAGTTTTTTCAAGGAGTCCAGGAACGCCGTCGTCAACTCTGCACGGCAGAGCATTCCAGTGTCCTGCTCGAGAGTCAGTCTCAGCTGGAACTCATCGGCAAGGAACTGCAGCAAAGCATTCCAGTCATCTGAAGACAAGGGTATCGGCTTCGAAAAGAAAGCATCAATCGCAGAGATGCCACGACCAAAGTCCTGTTCCCATGCTGCACACTCCTGCGCAAATGCGCAGACTCTGCAGCAGAGGGGTGGCTTTGAGCCCGCGTAAGTATCAGTTTTTTGAGCTCTCATCCAACCTAGGCGACAGTCCGCATGGTAAAAGTTTCCTGAATCCACCACCCCCATCCGAGGGTCGACAACACCATCCCCATGACCTGACATGCAGCCAGGGGCGCAGGTTGCTGGGTCGTCCCCTGTGAATTCACAGCAGCAGATCCCACAAACAGCGTTGCACGGCAAAGTTCCAGCGATCGGAAAGTCTGCCGGATCAAAGTGGCTTTGCTCTGCGAGGCCCTGCATGCGCCTGACCGCAAGATGCTTGCCTGTTTCGTCGACAAGCAGGAACACATCATGCCAGTGCAGTACGTCTGGACGTGCGAAACACTCGCTGCAGTACTCTGGCCGCCCATCGAAAGCACTCTCCGGCGGGAGCAGCTCGCACAACATGCATTGAAAGCGTCGCTTGGGAGGTAGACTGGTCATGGATCGAGCGCAGCTCGAACAGCGAATGCAGGCGCAATCTGGCGAAAAGCAGCAGCTGGCACCACAAGGTTTGCTGTAGTATCTCTGCCAGCGCATCATATTCTCAGTAACCGCTCGAACAGGAAGACCTTTCATCCAATCTTCGAGCAGACCTGCATCCAACTCTCGGAAGCTCGCACTGCAGTCAGCGGCCTCCATGTTCGCACTTGCAGACCCAGGATCACGAGCTGGGCATCAAGAGACAGTCTGAGTTAGTCTACATCTGAAGCCCAGACTTCGGGCCGGACGCAGGACAACGGTCGCGGGGAGAAGTGCCCAGCAGAAAGCTCAGCGTCAGGTCCTGAGGCAGATGCCCAAATAGTCGAGCCAGCTCGTCACCTTGGTCATGCGAGTCGCACGCTTTGAATTCTGACTGTCCTACTGTTGAGGCTTGCACCGGACATCTTGGTCGAGAGGCTCATTTCAAGAGCCTGCTGGCAGCAAGTGCTGGCAATTGGCATGCCCCGAGAAAAACTTAGGTGAAGAGGATCGTCGGATGCCAAAGATCAGGCTTTGTGCCAGCTGCACGAGGAGTCAAGTGCCACGGCAACATGGTAACATATTGTCATGTTGTATCATGCGCATCGGACACCCAACACGTCTGTCTCCCAATACTCTTGATCCGCCGATCCCTTGAAGGTCCGCCTCGTCCCGCAGAAGCGAGGCTTGGAGCCGAACAGCACCTTGGCCCAAATCGAATGCCTACTTCCGTCCTAACCCCGAGACAAGCGGAAAGCATGACGACTCCTTCCGCGTTGTCGAATCTGAGGCATTCTGAGGCATTTGCAAACTTGAGCACGAGTCTGCCCAGAACCGGCCAGCTGCAACAGGAGCGATCGCAAGGCCTGCCGACTGGCGACACGTAAACAGTCCCTCATCTCTTAAGAGCGTTGGTCTTTCAGGACAACACTGCTTAGTTGCACCTCGCCATGTTGGCGAAGCCATTTCACGAGCTCTTGCTCAGCACCTGGCAGCTTGGCCCAAGACAAGCTGCACGTAAGGTAAGAAGCCCGTGAACCAAAGACTACAGTAAGAGGTTTGGGCAGATATGCTATGTTGATGAAGAACAACGGACGTGCTCGCTGAGGCTCCGTCTTCTGTCTGCTTCCCCTGCAAGCTCGACTGTCAGCTTGCGGTGGTGCCTCGGCAACACTCTCTCGCTGCTTGAGCAAGGCTGGCATCAGTGGCCGGGCCCAGGGTGCATTTTCAGGCGGCGGTTGCGCAGCCAAGCGACGCCAAAGCTTTCGACACACTGGATAGTGCAGCAGCCACGAGGCCTCGGCGGCGTTGGAGACTTCTATCTTGTAGCGGTGAGCGGTGAGCCGGCTAGGGCCACTGGAAGATACCAACGGGATATATTGCTTGTCAAGCTTCGAAGGTCCTCGGATTCGCACAACGTGAAGAGGTCGGAGATCTGGCAGCGTCAGCTTCGCTTGCACGGATTGGCTTGCGTGGTCCATGCTGGCACTACCCTTGTTAGCCCCGTCCACACCCCGACGGCTAACGCATGATCAAATAATATGCCCCCACACACACACACACAAAACCCGAACTTTTAAATGTAACAAACCAAGCCAAGTTTTCCAGCTTACTCCTAATGGCGCTTTTTTCTGCACCATTCACTCGTGTCAATACTTCCAGCCTGTTGATTTTCGGTATTTCGTCGCAGTCATTTGCTGCTGACCCTGACTATTGGTTCCAAGCCCGGTACGACTTCTGGCCTTGCTGCCGCTCTTGGTGCTTCACATGCTACAGAGCACTGGCTATCACCGGGCGACCAACAACACCACATTCTCACACGCTGGCTAACGAGGCGTCGTCTGTGCTGCCAAGGTCAGAGTCATCGTCCCAGGTCAGTGGACCGGACGTGGCTTTGAATGCATGCCGCCCTTGCACACTTTCCCGTCATTGGCCTGGTGGCATAGTCTTGGAACCATTGTTTGGATCAAGAAGCTCCTGTGGAGCAGCGTTCACCAGTCGAGGGTCAGTGTAGCTGAAGTCATGCCACCGCTCAACCAATCCTGTAAGATCGCCCGAAGGACCTCGAGGGCTCCCTTGCCGCACGCTGGCCGAGCGCTTTCAGGACGGGCCCTACATGGCCCTGCACTTCACAAGTTGCTCAAAGCCAGAGCCTTTGCCTCTGCGCACGCTTGATCAACACAACTCGGAGCCAAGTAGCTTTGTGAATACAGCTTCGCCTGCTGCAGGCACTGCCGGTGGCTTCAAAAGAAGAGCCGGCAGTGCGTCTGTCGGATCTGGTTCATCTTCCATGGGCTTGGTGCATTGCTCCAAGATCTGCTGCATCGATGGCCTTTTCTCTACCGGACTCAGCAAAGACATCACCCATCTTTGCAGCCTCCCTGTCTCGCGGTTGGCTGGTGTTTGTCCCAGCAAAGTCAAGAACGTGTAACCTGTCATGTACGCGTCTTCCGCAAGCGCGCGGCAGGGCTGCTTATCGGCTCTCTCCGGGGAGACTGCCAACAAATTTCCTGGAAGTCGATCCAAAACCTCGTCAGCCTGCTTCAGCTCCTGTGCAGCGTCAAAGTCAATCAACTTGATGTCATTGCTCATAGGACGTGCGAAGCAAAGATTGGCTGGCTTGATGTCCAGGTGCGCCACCAACAGGCCATGGATGTGTGCCACACCCTGGCACGTCGGACTAAAGGCCTCGGCAAGGACACGTCCATTCAGTTCTCTTTTGTTATGAGCCTCTTGGAGGCTTTTCCCTAGCATTTCCATGCCAAACCCGGTCGTATCTCCATTGTCTGCTACGAGACATAAAACCCTCACCACATTCGGATGGTCGATTCGAGTCAGGAGCATTGCCTCTTTGTGCAACGCCCGGCGATCCTCCGCCGGGTTCGAAAACAGGTGGGGCTGATGGCGATAATACTTAACGGCGATAGCCGTGCCTCTAAAAACTCCCGTTTGGACCGTGCCAAGTCCACCACGGCCCAGGTGCGTTGTCAGTGCCAGCTGCGCAACGTCGACGCTTGGCAGCGCCTCGTCCTGCTGAAGTCGTGGTGTCGCCAGTTGTGTTGTCTGTTGCGGTTGTGCATCGTTGACTATCGCCACCGCCTTGGCTTTGGGAAGTGGTCGTGGTTTTGGGGGAGATGGCTGGCCGAATGTGTAGACCAAGACCCGAGGAAGCCCGCAGCTGGCCCTCGGGCTGTACGTCCCCGGCCCGGGTGTAGAAAAGTCCCGGCCGGGGACCCGGACCGGAAAGCGTGCCGCTCTCGCGAAAGCCATGGCGGAGGGCTCTGCTCAGTCTAAATCACTCTGCCGTGATGCCAGATCCACAAACGGCCCTCCAGCTGCAACGCATGTGCTCACACTTTCTATGTCCTTTGACTTCTACCCCTAGATACTCGTACTTACCATTACAAGAAATTCATACGTCGTTACTGCTTTTGCAGCGATTCAAGCTCCGACCACCCACAACGACAAGTACCTGCTTTGTGGCCAGTGCTGTTGCTACTTTGGTGGTCTCCGAGTACGAGCAGGAGCTCTGCTCTGGCTATGAGCAGACTCTGCCACAACCAACACATAATGGCTGCTGCAATTGCTCCTGGCAGTCACTCCCATGTCTTGGACCTCGTTCAGATGCTGGCGCCCAGCAGGGCCCAGCAAGCGCTGCCTGCAAAGCCACGGGGCATGATACGTGCTCTTATGGTGTGGGTTTCTGCCCTCCTGCAAACCCGGCTTTTCCTTATGCCAACCTGGATTTTGCTTAGGCTGGTCTGGCTAATGCTGGGAGCGGGGAGGGGGTGGGGAAGGGAAGGGAAAGCGGTTTGGGGACGGGAGGGCCTCCAGAAATACCTTTGTTGCAATTGTGCTACTGGCGGCCTAAGGCTTTCACATGAAAGCGAGAAAGTGTGGTAAACCACCCAGTGAAAACTCATCCTTGCTATGCCCTTTTTTTCACCCTGAAATCATCTGAAATCCAAACCAGGAAAATCACCGGGATTGGATGTCCAAATCTCAGCCAAAACCCGCAGGACCTGCGAAACCTATTTGGAGTTTTAGCCTTTTTCCACGACATCCAGGGGAGGTCGAGCAGGCTGAGCTTTCGAGAGGCGCAACAAGATCAAGAAGACTCGTCGATGCAGCCAGACTAGAGGCTGCAGGCCCAATCACTGTCGCGAAACCATGAAGTCGTCCGAGTAGCAAGAGCAACCCGAACTACAAATGTAGTCGGTGCCAAGACTGCCACGGAAAAATACTTGTCGTCTCAGCTCTACGAAGTGCCACTGGCTTCAACCAGAAAAATCAAATCTAAGCATTCCTGGGCATGGCTCGTTGGGGTTGGGCAGGCTTGGGGGTGGAGGGGTGAGGAGGATGGGTGGCGAGGAAAAGCCTGGCATGGATTGGGAGAGGCACCGAGGAGCACAAAAGGAAAAACCATTCGCATATTGCGTGAAACCATAGCACCAGCGTGGCAGGAGGGGCGACGGGGAGAGCACGAAAACAGATAGCATCAGCACGAACCGCAGCAACAACTAGGTGACCGCTGGGCGACCGGGCTCAAGGTTCCGAACTTTTTCCATGGCCAAGTTCACTCTGGAGGCTCACATCTGATCAGACTTAGCTAATTTCCTCTCCTTTAGACTGCAGAAGTTCACGCGAATGGCGCCTCCGCCTGAATGATTCGGTACATATTGGCACATGCTGCCAAAGTCTCAGTCTTGAGAGCGGCGCAATTACAGGTGCTCGGAAACCTGTCACCTAGGCAACACTTCCGATGGCGACAGTCGCACTGGCACGCTCTTTTCCAATCGCGAGTACAGCAGATGCGAGTGGGACCGGGAGATTAAGACCGTCAGTGGTCTTTGTCCTACACATCCCACGGCTGCAGTATGGTAATAAGAATAGATTTGGTGGGAAGGCATGCACGTGGATTGGTTTAGCATTCTGAGGGAATTTGTTCTGCATCATCAAAGTACAACACAGGAGCCTTCGCACAAGCCCAATAGTAAATGCAGGAAGACCCATGCCGGATTCCAAAGACTGAACAAGGGAAAGGGCAAATTCGTTGCCAACGCCAAGACTTCTCTTGGCATCCGGCATGGTTTTCCTGACTGAGTGCTGCCGGAGAGGTCGCGGCCGTGGTACAGCAATACTTGCTTGATTACGTGCAACTGTACTTACTACTTACTACTTATTGCTCACTACTTACTACTTACTACGTACTACTTACTACTTACTACTTGTACTACTTATACTACTTGTACTACTTGTACTACTTATACTACTTATACTACTTATACTACTTATACTACTTATACTACTCATACTACTTATACTACTAATACTACCACTACGACGACGACTACTACTACGACGACTACGACTACGACTACGACTACGACCACGACCACGACCACGACTACGACTACGACTACGACTACGACTACTACGACGACTACTACTCTCTCTCTCTCGAGTCGCAAACGTCCGAGGGCGTTCATGCGTAGCCATTGGTAGGCTTGCTATGCCGGCTATCTGTGACAGCTTCAGCAGAAAAGCGATGTCTCAGACATCACACTTCACATTAACATTAACACAAGCTCAAAAACATGCGCAGGAAACTAAAGCGCCCGGACCGGGGTCCCCATAAGCAGCGCTTCATGTTCCTAATTTGCCCTCATGTGGTACCTGGCTCAGACTCGGAATCATTCACTCAGAACTCGCCGTGCTTGCAGCAAGAAAACAAGAAAGCAAGCACCATTTGCATCATGCCGTCATGTACGGATCCTCAGTTGCGACTCCCTCGCAGCTGATGTTGAAACCCAAATGTGTGAGAAACTCTCGACACGACTACTACTACTACTACGACGACGACGACGACGACGGCTGCTGCTGCTGCTGCTACTACTACTACTACTACTACTACTACTACTACTGCTACTGCTTCTGTCACGACGACGACAGGCCAGGACTGGCACTGCCACGGCAAAGCGAGCCTCTCCAACGTGGATTTCGACGTTCACTCCAGCTACACGAGTCCTTCTAGGACACCTCCAAAGGCAAACTCGTCGACTGCAGATTTTGCACTGCTCTCTCGACTGCTAACATTGCTTGCACTGCTACTGCAAGCATGCGAAGTGCATTCAAAATCGACATGCCCATGCCACTCAAAAGAATCATCTGTGACATTCGGGACACTCCCCTGGATCAAGATCAACATCAAGAGCACGAGGTAAAACTCTAGCTATGCCTCTCAGATGCCTTCATCAGCTAAATCTCTCCATTGGGGAGGAAGCTACTGCCAAACCTCATCGGAGTTTGGGACTTGCAAACACTAGGAGCAGTCTTTGCACCCGGTCGCATGGAGCGCGGCAAGCTCCAGAAGCTTTAACAGCTCCCCAGCAAAAACAGACGTAGGTGTATGGTATGGGAGGTCATGGCTCGTCCGGCAGAGGCGGCAGCTCTGGCACGCCCTCTGCAAAAAGCATCAACACGGTCAACACCTTCATAGGATTCTATAAACGAAATCGATATCGTCTGATCAACCGTTTGTGTTTGTCTCACTTTGCGGGCCAGAACATCGGCAATGCCACCCCACGCTCAGGGAAGGCAATGTAGCAAGGTCATTTCACCTGCGCTGAAGCTCACGACAGCTGGGGGCTCAGAAGAAACGAACAAAGCGCTAGCCAAGCCCCGCCAAGTCGCCTCGAGAACGTGGCCTACTGCCACGGTCGTCTCCTCGAGGCGGAGCATGAGAAGGCCCAAGCCTGGGATCCACAGAAACAGCTCATGTGCAGAGAGCTTTACTAAGCTTTCGTACAAGGCGCGGCTGCTTTGGGCATCGGAGACACTGCAAACAGGCACCTCGAGCAGTCACACTTCAAATTCTGCGAAGGTAGATGTCAACGGACAAGCTCCGTCCAACCCTCCAAGGATTGCAACTTGACGGCAAGCTTTTCATCACCCCGGGCCTGTCGCGAGAATTTCAGCAACACCGTCAGCCGCTGCCCGGCCTTCAGCTGCAAACGCCAACAACACACCCAAGCCCAAGCCATCATTGCCCGCGCTCTGGGCCAGGCCTTGACAATTTTTGGCCTTTCCGTGGTCACTCCGGTCGCCCAGTCTGTGGCGTCCTGCAAAGCAGGCACTGGAGTGGCAGCCAAGGTCTGCATTGCTGCTCCTACACTTTGTCGACCACATGCTTTCCACATGCTTTAACTTTACGGTGGCTTCTAATCATCAGCCGTCCAGAATCTGGTCGATCTCCGCGTCCACCGTTGCAGCATGCACCTCAAAGGCACTTCTTATGTCGGGAATTGGCGCTCCAGTACCAGTAGAAGCGATGCGCCTGCGCTACAATCCAGAGGCATGGCAATCTGTGTCCAGACAGCTTTGCCAGCTGGAGCTGGGTCGCAGCTGGGCTCAGCTTGACTGAGGTCTGGACATGCAAGACGGCCTTGAAGCCGGCTGTCATGGGCCGTGGCAGCTCCAACACTTCCAAGTAGGCCTTCACCGAATCCGAAACCTGCAGGCCGTTGCTGCGTTCCGAGTTCCGATTTTTTGAGGTTTACACCCGCCTCCACAGGCGACTGTGTAGAGCCAAGGACAGAGCCACACCAGCCAATGGTCGAGGCACCTCCAGCTAGTCCAGGCATGGAACCGACCGGACCGAAGGGAGAGCTCAAAACATCGGGATTCACCTTTGCAAGTCGACATCAGTATACACGCGCTTAGGTGTCGCCTCCCACTGTCGGCCAATCTGGGAAGGGTCCGCCAGAAAGCTGCAGCTCCACATTCTGCCCGCTCTTCGCCTCACGGTTGAAATATCTTTGCACAGATATCTGCTGGCATGCGTCATAGTGTGCCGGACCACAGAACACACCTCTTGACGTTCAGCTGCCTCCTCCAGAGGTACCACATTGCGAGAAGCAGCCATGCGGAGGGCCTGCCAAGTTCGGCAACATCCAGAACCGACTGTGTGAGTGCGGTGCTTGAGCCTCTACAGCGCAGGGAGCAGAGCCAGGTGTTAAGAGGCAGCGCTCTCCCGGTCGCAGAGTGCCTCACAGCGAGACGTGGCGATCCTGGGCGAGACACCGAGGTCCCCGCCTTGCTCCACGCGGCCGCGCACACGGATCGTACCCTTCGCAGCGGGTGTAGACTCGAAGACCAGAACCTGCAGGGCTCCGGGCCTTGCAGAGGACACACAGCGGAGACGGCACAAACATGCACGGTCGTATTGCTGCTCAGATGCCGTGGCGCACAGCTGGCCATGTCATCGAGGCATTGGAGGAGAGAAGCGCCGGTGTGCCAAGGAGCCTCAAGAGAAGCAATGTGCTGGGACCCACACGGACCTCCTCCAGCTAGACTATTTGGGACAATAACGACAGCGCGACCAGCCACCTCCACCATTACCGCAACCCACACACAAATGACAAATCATTTCTTCGAAAATCCACACTCCCAAAGGAACAAATTGGTGGGGGACTTTACAGTACAGGACACCTGTCACCTGCGTGGGATACAAGATATACAACACTGCAGCAGTCTCGGTGGGCGGGGATTGCAGGGACGAAGGCGAGGAGAGGATAAGAGCTGTGTTAGTAAAGTATAGTAAAGTTAAGTTCCGCCTCTCTACACCCGGGACGGGGAAGCTCACGTCCAAAGTCTGAACGACAACCTGTCCGTGGGTCTAGATCGGACTCGAGGCTGCTGCTCTGTGGGGCTGCAGGATACATCTGGAGGGACCCGCTGTTCTTGTCAGACTTCTTGCTCGTCGTTTTCATGTTCTCATCATCATCAGCATCATTATCATGCGTCATCATCATTAAGAACAACAACCACCACCACCACCACCACCACCACAATCACAACCACAACCGCTACCGCAACCGCAACCGCAACCACGACGACGACAACGGCAAACAACTACAACCACAAGCACTCCTGCCGTCGCCGTCCTCATCATCACCAATTTCAATGCAGTCATCAGCAATACGATTGCCCAACAACAAGGGCCTTCTTGGCATCCACTTGGTTTGTAAGGCCGTCCACAGGAACGAACACCGTCGCGGCCTGGCTGAAACCTGCGCGGCGCTTGCTTGATCGTGGTCAGAAGACATTGATCTGAGTCCGAACTGCGCACAGAGTCAAGATCCCCAATAGTCAAATTGGTCGTGGTTCATTTCATCCGGTGTAGCCTGCGTTCGTCAGCACAGAGGTTAAGGTAGAGATGACTTCGTCGAACCGATCCTCCCAGTGGCACCAGACTTGAAGTGCCAAAACGTGCTGAAACACAGCCACTGGCACGCCGAACTCCTCTGCCCAGCTGACTTCTTCCATCTTCGTTACTGCGACAACCAGGCGTCCCTCCTGCACCATAAGATCGACTTTCGATGCCCTCCCATCGCGAGCCGAATCGGTCCCGGCCTTGGCGGCCGTGCCGAGGCCCCGCGCGGCCCTCAGCTGCTCCACCAGCGTGGAAGGACCACCTCCTGCCTGGAAGTCTCATCATGCCCTGCTCATGAAATCCTTGTGACTTCTTTGCCAACCGTGCGCCTCCTTGAGAGCCGCCTCCAGCTCCCGGCCCTTTGCAGAAATCACGAGCATGGCCACGTCTGCCTTCAGGAGCGAAACGGAACAGAGCTGGCGAGTCTGCAACGTGGGCTTCGTGGCCTCGGCAGATGCAGCCACAGCCTGTGGCAAAGAGCGACGGCCTGTTGCGAGACGGCTGAGATGGTTTTCTTCGAAATTCCACACGAGGCTGCAACAAGGCTCCTCCCGGCACATCGAGCAAGGCCAGCTCGGCACCCTTGGGTGTGCGCAAGCCATCCTTCGTGGACGGTACCAAGCGGCACACGCAGGCAGACACCAGCGAAAGCAGTCCTCACGCTGCAACTCACTCTCTTTGAGCCGCTCCGCCTCCTAGGTCCAGGTGAGGACCATGGCTGGTGCTGTGACCGGCGACTGCGCATGGCTCAGTGCCCCCCGCCTTCCGGCGCTTTGCCAGGTCGCGCTCGCTAATCGCAGCCGTGGCCAGCAGAAGCGCACCCACCAACATGGACTTCCCAGCACCTCGACCGTCACGGGTCTCTCACTTGTGTTGCCCAGTTGCAGGCACATGAAGCAGGCCCTTCAAGCGCTGTGCCTGAAGAGCGTCAAAACATAGCATGCACAACTGACCCGCTTCCCAGGCACCCTGGTGGCCAAGCACGGCCACCGTGACGTGCGAAGTGGGTGGCTTCGCCTCCCTCGCGACCGCCTCTGAGCCAATAAATCACCCCTTCGCGTAGGGACATGATGTGGCCTCTGCAGCAAGCGCCGCCGCTGCAGAGGGCGGCAGCCCGGCAGCTGCCGCCTTCTTGGCGCGCTCCTCAGAGAAAGCGAGCAGAGCTGTGCCCGGCTTGCTCTAGCAGCAGGAATGTCAACAATCGGGACACAGCCATGGCCGCACACGACGGCTCCCACATGCGGTGGAGCTGCTGCTTTCTCCTTGATCTCTTTCCTGCAATGCAGAGCTTGGCGGAACCAGATAGAACAGCACCTGCAAACCCCTAGCCGCTAGCTGCTACAATGCTACATGCAACTGTTCAACAGACTCTGCCCACCTCGCCTCCTTTGCTCTGCTCGCCGCCTCCGCTCTTCGTTCTCCATCTGGTAAGGCACCAGACGAACATGGTGCCGGACCAATTGCAGGCACGTGACAGCGGCCCGGGCCTCTTGACGGCGAAGAGCCTCCTGCGCTGACAGCGTGAGACCAAAAATGAACCCTCCGGCTCCGGCCCCGTCTCCTCTGCAGTTTCTTTTTGCCGTGCAGCTGCCTCCTCGGCCTCTCCTCGGTACGTCGACATTTCTGTGGACAGCGTAATCGACGCTTGCCAAACTGATGAGGGACATCAAGCGCGAATACTGGATTTGGTGTAGCCAGGCTTCACACAAAACCAAACAAAGAGAAAGAGCCAACCGAAAATAACTGTGTTTTTGAAGTAAGACTTTGACAAGAGTGCACAAAAAATCCACTTCTCGACCTTAGAAGCCCTCCCCCCCATCCCCGGCCCCTCCGCTCCAACCAACCCCCCCCGGCCCCACCCACCCCCCCAAACCCTAAACCCCAAACCCGAAACCCTAAACCCTAGAATCTTAAACCCTAAACCGGAGGAGGGGGGGAGGGGAGTGGCGCAAGGAAACCGGTAGCCGGCCGCTCAAGAAGCGGGATGGAGAGGGAAGGGGAGGGGGGGGAGGGAGGGGAGGGGGGGG